ATGGGCATTAATAACCATTTCTTAAACGCCTTTCCTTATTTTTGCACAGGGGTTTCAACGGTGGATTGGTGGGGTATTCATCCTTTGGGTTTTTTTGCCCCGGGGAACCCTCCCTTGATGATCCGGGGGCCTTTGTGGATCAGGATTGGTGGTTTCACCACGGCCGACATATTTTTCCCCGGCTCCGGAGGAAAAGAAGGGTCCCACCCCAAGTTCTCCTTGGGGGTGGGGGTGGAGCAGGGAGAGACAAACAGGGAACATTGGCGCATTCCCTTTTCCCCCTTCTCCCCCCCCCCCGTTTTTTTTTATTTTTTGGGTCATGACGGGGGGGGGGGGGGAGGAAGGATAGTTTTAATTGCGCCGCACAACCTAGCCAGCGCGAGCACGAGACATTGCTGTAGTGCAGCTAGGCACGACGACGAGTATCCCGCAGCGGGATGCCTGCAATGACGTTTGACGCTCTGCCCTATGGAATATTCAGGTGGGGTAATTTGTTGCTGCGTCAAGCAGAGCAAAGTAACGCCAGAGCATAGCAACCCGGTCGGTCTGTTGTTGCCCAGTCCATCAGTCTACAAGTCTGCAGCAGTTCGATAGTCTCCCGTGGTTCGTGGTTTCCCGATGTTACTATTAATAGTACGACACATATAGTACCGAAGTTTATGCAGTCGACAATCTCTTTCAACACCTGTCGCTCTCGTTACGGTTCCTGTGGTTCGTGCGTGTACATACAATATGCAACATGGTCTGCTGTAGGTAATCGGTCAGAGTACGAAAGAGTACGATATCCATGCTCCCTCTGCAAACATACTCGCGAAGCAGCATACCCTGTCGACTTGGTCCTGGGCCCAAAGTAGCAGCACACACTCTAGCCTATTCTTTGCGACCCGTTCACCTTTCCAAATGCCAACGTCCACAACCAGTTTGGTCAACCGACCACCTCTATTACACAATAACAACAGCATATGGTCTCGCATGTCCTCACGATCTGGATGACATGATGACATAGCGCCCGTCTCTGTGCCTCGTTCATCTCAAGGAAAGCTATCTCTCGCCTGAGCCCCAAACATCGATACACCTATGTACAGCAGACTAGGTGTGCGCATGTATTTCAACGCTGCGTGGCATCCTCCGCAAAATCATATCGATGGAGGAATTCAAACCTACATTCCGTTTAGATGTTTCAATTGACGCAGCCAAATGTGGCAACAATAAGGACGAGTGGGGTGTCGTCTGACTTTGATGCAGACATCGCCTCTCGATGAAGGCAGACTCTACAACCCCAAACTGTCGAACCCGTGTACACCACACGAAACGGACAGACCCAATCCCTCAGGTGCCATCTCGAGCGCGACATGTGCTTGTCTTTCTTTGCCGGCGATGGGGCGAAAACCTGATCGGGGGCAGGAGGAAAGGTCTTGCCACTACAACTGAGTTCGCCCTAATGCCTCATGCACGAAGCATGTCCTTGTCACCCACAGCAGAGGCAGAAGCCTGACAGGATGGCTGCGACAAAGTTTTTTGTGTGTGGCCATCGTGAATCTGCCTGCCTGCCTATTCCATCTGCAGCCATTTTTTTGCCAAGAGCAGTCCTCGACGCGACCAAGGTTTCGTCTGAATGTCAGCTTCGCCAACCGTTGCCCCCGTTTTGGGTGATGCCTCCCCCTGGGTGCAGGCGCGTCGCCGTCTGCCTGGACCGTCGCGACATGGCGCAGCTCGCCAGGGCGGACGTGAAACGAGTGGTGCTATCCTTCTGCCTGTGGGAGCGGACGACGACTGGCGCCTCCAAGGGCGGGAAGCTTGCGCGACCGCCTGTCGACGAGGAGCAAGGTGTGTGCGCGAGAGAGAGCGAGACAGAACAAAAAATGAATTATTTGCGGCCAAGACTATAATATGTGTAGCCTCAGAAAGAAATTTTGTTTTCCCGTCGCATCTCGAATACCTGCCCCTGTGAGTATTATGGAACTCGCGGTTACGGGTTTGAGAAGTCCCCAAGTGAATAATATGTACACGGTCAGACGGCTGCCCTTGGGTGCTGCGGAAATCACAGGGCATCATGCCCTACGATGGGAATGGGGCTGCCGAGAGTGTGTGTACGCTAGCTCGACCTCTTTGCGTCCTGGTTCGAAGGCCTGTCACGCGTGGTTATAGATCCATGTCTTAGGTCCCCTCCCCATCCACCACCCCTAGTCCTGTTGGTTTCTCCTCCATTCCTCCCTCCCGCCCGTTTTGCAGAGTGCGTCCCACCCTTGGGGGCGCCGATCTACAGGTTCTTGGGCGCGGAGGATCTAGGGAGCAACGGGGAAGGGCAACATGGCCCCAAAGCGGTGCGCGCCTCTTGACAAGGTTTTTCTTTTGCGAGTCGCAAGTCTTTTGGTCAAGGTTTGCATCTGTTTCGCCCCATGGCTTACACGGACACACCCTGCTGTTCCGTCGCCTGCACGTGTGTATTTCACGGAACTTAACTTGGTGGGAATTGCACGTGGAAAGATCCCGCGCCGTTCCGTTCGTTCGGAAGAAAAAAGGACTCCCTTCAACTATGCGCCGTGGACTGGACTGCTCTCTCCCGCTTGCTTACGGACGAATATGTGATAGATCGCTCGCTCCTGTTGCAACAGCAAAGATTCTCCCCTCTCTCTGTTGCCTCTTTGCAGCAAAACTGCCCGAGCCACCCGGGCCGCGCAAGGAGCATTGATTGGTTGTTTTCCGCGGTCCCCAGAGCGTCCCACAAGACGCGTCTGTTCTTCAACCTGGCTACTTGTACGTTAGTTTCGCCTCCTTTTGTTTGCGGCCATGTTGTTGTTGTTACGACAGGTGCTGGCGAGTTACCCGCGATCGGGAAACTCCCTGCTCCGGAAGCTTCTCGAAGAGGTGACAAGGATACCAAGTTTTCGATGTGCACCTCGGCAATACCGCCTGTCAATTCTCAACTCTGTCTCTCTAGCTACCCATCTCTACTTGGTTTCAAGCCCGCCGGGTCTGGGGGTAAGGGGGGGGCGTGGTTGTCCAAGCCTGCTGCAAGGGAATCTGACCACATCACTCCGCTACAAGGATTTCCATTTCGCCTGTTCTCTCCTACTACACGTATAGTGAGAAACTAATTGAGCTTTCCGTTGTCGTTGTCGTTCTTTTGCCGGGGGAATGACCACTCTACGTACGTCTGACCTCTTGCAAGGAAGTATTTTTAGTAACCCTTAGCGGTTGCTGCACGGACGAACCGTCATGTACTCGCGCACGCACCCTCCTGTTCGTTGCTCCATCTCCACTGTCTGTAGCGAGGACTCAGAACCTCGTGGTTGTACACTGTTTTGACACGAAGCAATACCGAAAGCAACCCCCCCCCCGGTGCGGGTGGACGATGCCGAGGATGCATTTTCCTCGTTCTAGATGACGTTCGGTCTACAGCTTTACATGCTATGTGCGGCAGCCGTGCAGTCGCCTGATGACCCTAGCGTTTCTACCCGCCCCAGGGAATACACGTCGCGGGACGCGTGTTGAAGGACCGTAACTGCCTTGGACGAGAATATTGATAACTATCTCACGCTGATGTTGAAGACTGATTGCCGAGATGGCCACAACATACTTTGTTGGCTTGTGTGTGCTTTCCTCGTTTTCAACTGTTTTGTCGTCTTGCTTCTGAATATTGTTTGCTGGTTCCTTTTGGGAAAAGCGAGCTGTCTTTTGCAGAATCCGAGTACTTGCTTACTACAGGTTTCGTTCATTGTCGAATCTCTCAACAAAACAGCATGTTTTGTCCTGGTTGTTTGCTGACCCGCCTCTCTCTCTGTGCACAGGTCACCGGAACCATCACCGGCAGTGACACGCGCCCCGACCGAACTCTGAGCAGGAGCCTTTCCGTTATGGGCATGCAGGTGCGTCAATGCATGCGTGGGCGTTGTGAATCCTGAGCATCAACCGTGCGCAGCTGCTGCTCCAAGAGTATCACCACCAGCACGCGTACATTTTTTGGGGGGCAATTGACAGAATGGGGTACACCCCGCGTGTTTGGGCACAAAAATGGGGTATTCTTTTTGTGGTGCGGGGCGCGACGCCTGAAGCCGAGTAGGCGCCTTGAAACCGCCTTCTAGCGCTTCAACCCATGCGCAAGGTCCTTAGAAAGGACGCCCAAGTTTTTTTTCTATTTCGCCCTCAGGAACAGGGTTAACTAGGGCCTGGAAGAGGGGAGCTTGATGGAGGACCCCATTTTGTTCACGAAACCCCGGGGTTCATCCCCTGTCTGCCAAAAGTTTATCTAGTACCCCATTTTGGTCACAAACGTACCCCATAATGTTCAAGGCATATCCCTTTTTGTTCAGTGGTGACGCTCCTCCTGCGGACTGTCAAAATGGCAACCAACAATCAACGGCGGACACCGTAGGTGTAGCGACAGAAGATGTTGGGGAATGGCGGTCTGCGGTGCAACACGCAGGTTTCGCGGTCTGCGGCGCGGCAAGAAGACAGACCATATTGGGGTACGGTGGTCTGCGATGCAGCATACAGGCTTTGTTGTGGTCTGCGGCGAGGCAAGCAGACAAAGATACAGAGATATGGTGGTCTGCGGTTGGTTGTTGGTTGCCATTTTGGAAGTCCGCAGGAGTGTCACCACTGAACAAAAAGGGGTATGCCTTGAACATTATGGGGTGCGTTTGTGAACAAAATGGGGTCTTCCGACAAGCTCCCCTCTTCCAGGCCCTAGTTATAACCCTGTTCCTAAGGGTGAAAAGCAAAAAAAAAAGTTGGGCGTCCTTTCTAAGGACCTTGCGCATGGGGCTATTGCGCTAGAAGGCGGTTTAAAGGCGCCTACCCGGCTTCAGGCGTTGCGCCCCACACCGTAAAAAAATATACCCCATTTTGTGTCCAAACACGCTGGGTGTACCCCATTTTGTCATGTGCCCTTTTTTTTATGTGCCTTGATTTTGTGTTGACGACTGAGCTCTCTGCAGGCCGGGAAACCGATTCAATGCTGGCATTTTTCTCTACGAATTTTTTTTCTTTTCTAACGACTGTGCATGTTTGATGAATGTCACCTGTAACACGTACCTGTGTAGTAGATTGCGCATCAGCGGTGGCGAAAGGCTGACGCCCATGGGAGAGGGCAAGTGGTGGGGTAGCTTGGTCTAACGTAGCACCGGAAGCGGTTCATCAGGCGAAGCCGCGGCTGCTGCAACGCGGTGCTGTGCTAGGAACGAAGGCCCGCAAATCACTAGCATAAGCGTGTTGCTATTCTAGGACGGCCCAGTTCGGTGTTGCCTCCTCCGATAGATATGTCCAAGGCGCCCAGCGGGGCGTCTCGTGCCACTCCGCACTACGTACCCACGTTGTCTATTCGAATGTCTATTCGAACAACAACATACAACCACCGCCGCAGTATAAATTTGACATGTGCGTTATTTTTTTTTCACGCAGAGCAGGGAAGCCAACTTTGTGCGATAGCAGAAGAGATTGTTTTTTCTGACGGAAGACAACGGTCACCTCGGCAAACATACCTGCTACGCAGAGAAAACAATATCAGCAGAGACTAGATGACTTTTCTCTTCTTCTGACGAAAGACAATGGTCACATCCGAACACACACATACCCGGACACGCATGGAGAACTGTCACAAGAGACTTGATTTTTTTTTTTGCTGGCACCACACCCACATGACCGGGACACAGGGAGAAGGGGTGGTCGACCACCGCGTGCAAGTGGTCAAGACTCACTACCCGGAGAGGCCCGGTTTTCGAGCCTTCGAGGCGGACAAGGCCATTCTTCTCGTCCGTAACCCGTTCGACGCCGTCGACTCGTACTTCAACATGGCCCTCACCAACACGCACGACCGGAGGTGATATGGATGGGTGCCTACCTCTTTCTCGATGCCTCTCTTCGTGCCCTGTGTACTACGACGTGTTGTTGGTCACGACCGCCGTGCTTGCAAAAGCATACTTTGGTGGGTGTTTGGCAGGGTTGCTGGTAGTTTTCACCACGCGAGGGAGCTGTGCAGATCGGTGGTATTGTTGTCTGCCTGCTGACTGCTGGGTAGTTGCTGCCCGGCACGACGACGAAGGGTTGGATGCGTACTCCTTCTTGTTGTTTGCCTCGTTTTTGTCCCTGTCGACACCAGCGATTCACACACCCTGTGATGCACGGCCATCTTTTAGACAGGCGTGTGGTTTATGTGGCGGTGTTTTTTCCGAGCTGCGGCTACAGTTCCTCCCTTTAATCGATTCCGTCGATTCACTCTGTGGTGTGGCTCCCTCCAATGCGGACGAGCAGAAGCATTGTGCACTCGTTTCTAGTTTTATTTTTCTGCTATTGTGTCAGCAACAGTTTACAATCAGGCTCGCGTGACCGTTTGTCATTTTTCTTCTCGTCTCATGGCACTGGGCCGTCACTTTCTCTGACCCTCCCCACCCCGCGGCTTCCCTCTCTCGGCCCATGCCCTTCTTCTGTACATTCGTCCTGTTGTGGCCTCTCGCGCTCTCTTTCGTTTGTTGTTCAACTTTTGTTTGGTTTCTTTCTTTCACTGAAAAATAGCCTACACGACGCGGTGTACGAGGAGTTCCAAGAGTTTTGGGACGGCATGATTCGGAACGAAATGAAGGTAACGAATCCACGATCAGGTGACGAGGAAGAAAGCGTGCAGGATGTCGGGTGGTAGTGGTCGAGGGATGTGGACTGCGTGTAGAAGGCAACGGGTACGCCCGCGGAGAGAGATGAGCACAAGACGTAGATGCGGCGTGGCTGGTGTTTTCCGACTGGCAGTACTGTCGCGACGAAAACGTTTGCTCCACGAAACCAATTAAATGAGAGGCGTTGAAAAGCAACGTTCTTCTGCGAAAAAAAAACAGTAAGCATATGGCTGAATGCCAAGAGTGCCCTCTACTGCCGGTGGCATCTCAATTCGGAGTATGTGAGAACCGTTGTTGACGCTCCCGAAGTCGATGCTTGAGTGAATAGTGAAATGCTTGAGCCAAGCAGAAGCTGAGTACGGATCTCCCTTGTGGTCCGCCTCGAGGATACGGTCTAGTTCATGTTCACATGATGACGACGGGCACCAAGAACCCGCGGAGCCCCGCTCATCCGCCTTTGAATAAGAATTGAAACCAACCAGTCACCCCACTCGAATGCCAGAGGTGATCGGTTGGTTTGCCGTCGGTCGGCGTTCAGAATGTTGAAGGCCACGTTGTGAGAGTGAGAGGGGACGGAGTGACAGCCTTCACACACCTGGCATATCAATTGCTGACTATTTACTCCGACGCCGAGAGGAAGAAGGCCGCCGAGCCTAGTTGCGACCACCCCAAAGCTGTTCATGCACGGCAAAAACGAGTTTATTCTGCGTGACCTGCCCTGGATCGGAGCCCGCTGCAGAGAGACACGGTATCTTGCGATAGAAGGATGGATAATGCCAGCGATGGCTGCAGATGAGATTGTTCGATTCACGAACAAGTCGAAGTTCTCCGTAGCGGGCGGGATTGGGTGCGGAACGCCGATCGGCGCGCTGGTAGCGTTACTTCTCCATGGGACGCAGCAGGAAGTACCGGGTGCTTTGCCGGTACGTTTCCCTGCAAATGGTTCATAGACGAGATGGTTCACTCTTTTCACTCGGTTGTCGCTCACCTGCGATTTGTTTTTCTCTGTTTTTTTTCGTTCACTCGCGTGGTGGCCGAAGGTGTGGGAGCGGTTTAACACGTACTGGCTGTCGAGGCGGGTGCCGGTGCACGTCGTACGCTACGAGGACCTGCTTTCGGACCCCGAGGCGACACTCTTAGGTCTCGTGTCCTTCATTCACGTAAGACCTACCCCCCGTCCCCTGTGCCCGGGGCCAATCGGATCGATCCTGTACATGAAACCCTAGGTCTGTCAAGCGTGCCAACCGGCTTGCCAATGCAAAGATAATTATTAATCGTTTGGATGAAATACAATAAGTGGGTTTTGGCTCTCTGTTTGCGCGAAAAACTCAAACCATGTTTTATTCACCCCGCACAACGCCATCGACAAACGTACCGTATTTACACACGCCACGATTTCGTTTTTTCCCTCCCGGTTCTCCGCCCCTTCGAATGAACAGAAGCAGGGCGACTTTCACTTATGAGCCTTCCTCAAAATTCACTCTATTTGTAATGAAAATCAGTGGTAGGCTCGCGGCGAAGAGGGACATGCGCTCATCAGAACCCACACTTTTTGCCATGCCCAAACAACTTCATCAACAACAACACCGACTGCCGCAGGACGTACGTGAAACACGAACATGGCCACTCCCAGAGTTTCTCCCCCTCCTCCTACATACAAACCACCACCACCACCACCACAATAACAATCACAGGACGTGTCCGGGACAGAAGCAGCCGAGAGGTACGGCGACCGAATACGCGGCGCTCCGGCCGTTTTGAATGCGGGCCGCAGGCGAAGCAGCAAGAGCGGAGAGGAACCACGTTGCACCGTTGCTGCTGCGCCAGAGGGGACGGGGATTGTCCCCCCCCGGCGGAACGGCCGCAGCGGCGGTGATGTTTGTGACTCAATGAGCAACGACGACGACGACGACTACGGCACGACCTTAGAGACGCCGAGGATGGGCGACGCAGCAACGTGCGACAGAGGTAGCCCGCCGGCGGCGGTGGGAGAGGGGAGCCGTGGTCGAGAAGCAGCGGCGGCGGCCGCTGCCAATACCAGCGGCGGGGAGGCAGCGACCGGCGCTGCCGGCCGAAGCGGTCTGTACCGGCCGAGGACGTCGAGGAGGGGTGTTGGAGGCAGTCTCAGGAGGCGTTATAGCCAAGAGCAGGTGCGTGAGTGCGCCGGCAGCGGCAGAGATGTGAGTTGTGGCGTCCCCCCCCCCCGTGGGGGTGCTTGTGGCCGTCTGTTTTTGGTCCCTCGTTGACCGGGTGAGAGCAGTCGCCCCTGGTATTGTCTATTCTCCGCCGCCGCTGTCCACCCAGTACCCTCGTAAATGAGGAAGGTACTCGATTCGTCATGTCTGTTCGCACTGAAATCGTTTCACTCTCTGCTAAGCACTGATGATCGACAAATACCAAATCCAATCCGCTGAGGTCGCCACACGTCCACAGCATTGCAAACGTTGTGTTTTTTTTTTTCATGTCGATCGTGTGTAACCACGGGTTGGAGTGAACGGCACAAGTGTTGTGAGCGCTAATTTGAAGTGAAGACTAAAAAATAATCGGTTATCATATGCCGACCCGGAGAAATAATCTGACGGTTAGGGCTGCTCTTGTGTCAAACCTTCCTCCAATCTGGCGACCCTCGTTCGCTGCTGTCGCAGCAGCGGGATGGACTACTGTCCCCCCCTCTGGCGGGGTCACTGCTGTAGTGATGTGAAGCAGTTCGAAGGGACATTGATCGATACACGAAGTATTGAGGCAGGCAGTTTCATATCTTCCCCGGCTTGTGTTGGCTCTCCAGGTGGCGTGGTGTGTTCGAGAGAATGGCGCCTTCTTGCGTCAGTTGGGCTACGACCCCGCTTCTCAGGTAAAAGCCTATCTATCCCGGGCAAAAGCCTGCCTATCACTGCCGGGCGAACCAGCAGGATATCAACCTAGCACACACGTTCGCCTTCCATCACAAGGGCCGAATCGGGACCGGCACTCCCTAGATGCCAGAATGAGTTTAGAGTGAACGCAAGAGCGCGGGCAACGTGACGTCCGTGCATTCTTGTCTTGTCAAGAACAAGCGTTTGCAGTTCTTTTGGTGGAGTCTCACACGAAGGTAGTTGTCAGGCCACCTGTCGTAATTGTATTGTTTCCAGTGGTGCTGGTAACACCGCCAGTCGCATGATGTTTGATGCCACCTTCCCCGCTCCCTTTGAGTTATATGATTGTGTCGTCGATGTGTGGGGGTTGATGTAATCTTCAGAACAGAACGACGATGGAAGGGATTCATAGAAGGCTTTGTCAGTGTCTTCCAACGCTCTTGTCTGGTGTTGCTGTACACACCTCCCGTCCTTCTGAAGATATGTATGTACCTAGCTTGGAAGCCAACCCAGCGTTGAAGACTGTGTTATTTATCGTGTAGGCGGCTCACAGGCTGCGCAATGAACGATCTGGTGTGTTGCGCTTCCGAAAATCGCTCCCACATGTTTGTCGCGGGCGTTCTCAACAGGAAAGTGCCATCTGCGATCTACCCATGCTCCACCACCCTCCTCCGATCGCTGATCTCTTCGGCATCTGGCGCCCTGGCCGCAGTATTGAAGTTTTCTTGGCCATCTGTTATGTTTACCCCTCCGCCGTGTTGAACATCTGCTGGTACCTTCCAACTCCAGGGTTTTCCTCCCGCCGTGAGCTCCTGTTCTCTTCGGCTGGACCGTCTCCAAAGCCTGTACGCTACCGGTGGCCCCGACACAAGCCGCGGCAGCAGCAGTGCTGCCCTTAGCTCCGCCTCCGGAATCGTGAACGGCGTCGATAGGAATGGAGTAACGGAATGTCCGCCGGGGGAGAACGAGGTAGGTGTATTCGTCGCTGCTAGAGAGTCAATCGGTTTGGGAGGACTTGTTTTCTGGTGTTGCGTTATTTGTATTGTTGGTGGTGGTGGTGTTGTCGGCGTTGGCGTTGGCCTTGTTGGCGTTCGTTGTTAGGCCTGTTGTCGTCTGCTTTTGTTCTTGGTCGCTGTTGTTGTCCCCTGTTTCATTCGCTCGCCGTCTAAATCTTCCCCGACGTTGTCGTTGCAGCGAGCTCAACGAGCACGACCGGGGGGCCCCACGGCAACTCTACGCCAGTCGGGCTGTTTCACATCGTCGTAAACACTTTGAAAAGGCTACTGCTTGCGTGCTGCAAGTTGTGCCTGCGCCACGCAGCTTGGCCAAGGCAAGCTTTCATGTATTTACCAAAAAACGTTCGTTCATGGAAGCGCCTTCTAGTTCCATTTCTTGTCGTCTTTCCTGCCGACGAAATAGTATTACAGCAGGTTAGAATACGCGTTTATACACGCCCAAACACGTTTTTGTCTGGCAGATTCTTCTTCAACATTTCAAGCCTTCCCGACGAAAATAACACAGCAGGTGATTTCGGCGGTTCGGTCCGGAGCATCTACTTGCACCGTAACCGTCAACGCAAAGATGCGATCTTACGCGGACGGGGCGGCGGCGGCGACGGTGAGGGACAAGAACGACTGCTACTGTAGGGCGATGACCCCGTTCCGAAGGTCCCACACACAGCGAGACACCCAGCCGCTGCCGCTGGAGGGGGAGGACGCCAAGGCCGAGGAGTGGCGCAGAAGACGGCGGGCGGAGAAAGAGGCCAAGCTCCGCGATGCCAGTGGTTCGCTGGTACCGTAGATGTGTTGGCATGTGTTTGATTGTTACCATCGGCCGCGCTAACCAGCTGACCAATGCAAAGAGGTCAGTCTCAGTGCGTTTGAAGAGAGAAAATGCTTCCATAGGCCATGATCTGGGACCGCGTGAGCGGGCGTCATGGGGGAGGCTACAGTGTGCGTGTGTGCGTCTGAATTGTTGTATAGCATCGACCGCGCCAACCTGTGGACCGATGAAGCTCCAAGCCTTACGAATAGGGGCAAGTAGAAGTATACGCGAGCACAGGCGTCAAGTAGTCAGCCCCGGGGCGTGTGTGCTTGTGTGGGTGTTCTTTGATAGGAAATCTACCTCGATATCCGGCCCCGACCAAGTGGATACCCATCAGAATGCGAACACTCTTTTTACAAAGCAGTGCGTCTGTACATTTTTTTATCCCAAGTGTTCTGGGAGTCAGTTTTCTCACCTTTCTGTATGTAGCAACTCTCGGGTCAAACATGAGGAAGGCCACACATGAGCTTGTGGGCTATTGTCCTCCTTTCGTCCCCGGTGCTTGCCGAAAAATTTTGTCGCGAGGAGGACTCAGCCATCCGTTCCCCTCGTTGATGGCCGAGTCGAACTTTGCAATATGAACTGTGTAACACCACTATCGTTTGGTCGTTGGCTTTTTCATTCCACGATAGGCCGCCACGGCAGCTACGTAGAACTTTAGCACAGCCTCCCTAGCGGACCACAACAGGGTGAGTGGTCGCATGCCCCCTAGCCTGGGTTTGACTATATTTCTCCGCAAGCAAGACGGTGTGAACACGCGAGGGAGAGCAAGCGACCTACAAATAAAAAAAATACATAAAATATCGAGCTGCGATTGGTCGAAGGCCAAAAATGATGTTCGGGGTTTCCGGCAGAGCTTAATTTGCTTTCGTGTCTTGAAAAAACAGTCCTCGGAGGGCTTTTTAAATCAACATGGCAAAACCAAAAATCAAAATATTAATTTCTATTTTCCGGCCAAGAGCCGATTTTGATTATTCCAACCTTGGTGAATACGGGTCCTCAACGCAACCCTTTTCGGCATTGGCAGGCTCTCGGTAGCGTACCAATCGGGCTGTGAAACTGACTCAGTCTGCGGGGTGTGCGATCACTCGCGCTTTCACCTTTACCGCATCGCCGGCTAGAACCAGTAAAGGAGTGTTTCGTGGCACACCAGGGGGGGTGAGAAATGGTACCCGGTTTCTCCTTTCGTCACCGCCGGTGGTGCTCTTTACGGATGTCATCATCCACGGGACTCCCCCCCATCGGATGGGGAGCCTAGCGATGAGGACAATAGTGCTCACCAAGTTGTACGTGTTTTGTTACGTTGCGTGTGTACCACTGGTTTCAAGCAGCAGTTCAGAGCGGCCAACGGCTAGCGTCGTAACCGGGGGTTCATTGCATGAGCAAAAACCAGGCACACGAACAAAAAGTGAAACACCTCATTATAGCATCTTCTACATGCCACTACACTCTTGTGGTATTCGCCCCGTACTAGGGTCTTCTGCAGACGAAAATCTTGTTGATATCGAAAAGTGGGCTGTGCTATTCTCATCAGGTCGGCAACCAAATCTCACCCTACGCGTGGTCCCACGGAGTTCCAGATGTACGTGTCATTCGGCAGTAGACCCCAGAGCTTCTATCCCCCTCGTCGATGATTTCCCATGAACTCGACACCTGCCCCATGAACTCGAAACCTACTCGCGTCTGCTCTGTAACCGACCCCATCTTCTACTTGCCGATGATGCCAAAGGCAGTCCATCGGGTCAGGGATGGGCTTAATTCTTGAGTCTCCACGGGCCTCTAGATCTCCAACAACCAGAATGGATGTGGCATCATAAAACGTGCTCAACTATGCGCTGCTGAAACATATCTATCTACTCTCCCGTTACCGTACGATTCCCTTCAAAGCTGATGCTCCCGACGATTTTATCTACACGTTGACGAAACTGCTTCTAAATGGACACAAACCTCTACCTCTTGGTTACCGCCAGCGGCAACTTTAGCAGTACTGATCATCGTCTAAAGAGACAACCTCGACACTATTCTAACCCCCACCAGCAGCAGCAGCAGCTTCTGCCGTAGCAGCGGCGATGACGTCAGCAGATCTCAAAGCTCTGACGGCACGTCGTTGAAAAGCTCCATGAAATCCTCGAACTTCTTCTGCACGGAAGCTTGCGCCTTCATGAAGGCAGCCGCGTCCTTCTCTCTCGCAGGTACGTCCGCCGCCTGCACCTCTTTCTACAAGGCCACGTCGGAGGGGTGGGTGGGGGATTCATAGTCGTGCATGCCATAGACGATCGACTTGGCATCCCTACAATGTTGCGACGGAGCTATATGCCTGGTTTTCGCCTGCCCAGGCCACGTTTCACAGGGGGGGGGGGGGGCGTGATTCATCTCCCACTAAGCTCCCACTAGCACTGCAAGTGCCTGTACCTGACTCTTTGCTCATGGTGTCACACGGTCGCATGAGGCACATACCGCTTCCAGGCTTCCAAAGTACACATGGGCCAAGGGCGGTACGCCATACTAAACTCTTTGGCCAGTACCCGTGCCCATCTCCTTCTCTTCGAATCACGGTGCCCCGCCTATTCCACTACTTCATTTTGGAACGGGCGGGCGTATAGAAGTGGATGAGGGGGGGGGGAGGGAAAATATCGAAATCTCCCTCAATCCCTCCCGCAATGGGTCATCGTGCACGAGTCCAGGTATTTGCGGTTCTTCTGCCGACGACACAGTTGTCGAAAACGCTCCGTATCGACAGCCGTAACAATGATGGTTTGGGCATCGGACTGCCTGCATCGGAGAGGCAATCTAATGTCTCTTCTACCCAGTGTTTTCCGCAAATTTGGGGTAGGCATTTGTGTAGTATGTCGCGCGCATTCATCTGGACACGGCAGCAAGAACTGGCCCCAAGACACCAACTCGAATAAGGCGAATCAAGGCGACGGTGGCGCGTGTAGAGCTCCATGTGGAAAGAGTCACAGACACACACGATAGTATTGGGTCCTCTCCTGCACTTCCGAAGCAGGACACTTTGCCCCCCGTGTGCGGTAGAACCCTTTGATGCTTAGGAATCGTGTTCGTTCGCGTTTTGTATCCCTATCCCGCCACAAGACTGACGTATTTTCATTGGTCATCCGGCCGGTTATCGCGGTCGATGCAAACAATTTAACACAAACCTGGATGCTCCGCACGAGGGCGAGGGCGGACTTCTTCTTGTCCGGCGGGAAAGTGCCCGCGAGGTACTCGAGTTCCCCGCCGAGCTGATACACCTTGCGGAGGAACAGGGCGACGTTCTTCCACTCGTCGGCGGTCACGTCCGCGCCCTGGCGCTCGATTGACTTGCCCAGGGCCGCCCAGTCCTTCTGCACCTTGACGAGGTTGGAGAATTGTCGCGCCCCGTCCGGCAGCCCCCCTTCTCCTACGCCTACCTCGGCCGAGGCAAACTCCGGTCCCTGCTCCATTAGGTCGTAAAAGAAAAAAAAACAGTCATGGGTGGGCACCGTTGTGCGGCGGCGGGGTCTTGAAGAGATCGGCGGCGGAGGATCGCATTCCCGGCGCCCCCTACCTCAAGAGAGCGAGCCCAAAGGCGACCACGCGTTCGGAAAGGAGGGACAATCGAGTCCAACTTACTGCATACCGTGGGCATATGCGAGGAGGGTACGTGTGGGTTGCTGCTTGGCCAGGCAACCGAGCATCAGCACGTGACGATCCCGAAAAGGCGGTACGCTGTTACTTGTACCGTTTAGTGCTTGTCTGCACGAACCGCGGTGACAATCTTCGCACGTAACATAGATCGTGAGTTAGATCACCTATGTCCCACCGATCACCATGGAGCAAACATGCACCGGTCATGTATGTCCTATAGATCACCATGGAGCAAACAACCCCGATTACGTATGTCCTTCAGATCACCATGGAGCGAACATACCCCCATCACCTATATCCTTTAGATCACCATGTTGCAAACATTCCCCGATCACCTATGTCCTTCAGATCACCATGGAGCGAACATACCCCGACCATCTATGTGCCGGACACAACCCTCAAAAGAGGTAGCTCGATCTGTAGCGATCTGATCCGTCCTATGTATGAAAGCCTTGCATCGGAAACAATGTGTGCGTTCATGCGGAGCACCAACCAAAACGCCTGGACCTGTCGTGCCGGCACAAGCCGCGCAAAATTTGCGTCGTCGTAAGGTGCCAAAAAACACACACAAGCGTGTCTTCAGTGCACTCCGGCCTGACTTGACTGACCCTTCACACCTGTGATACCGCCACCGCGCCCGTGATGGCAGCTCCTAGCATTCTACCGGCCCACTGGCCACGCGACATCCCGCCGCCGTCACTCGGCAGGGCGCCAGTCGTCATCCTGGTGGCCCTGCAGGGAGAAGGGAAACGAAGAAACGGTCGACACGCGAGGAAAATGAAGAAAGTCGGCAGCCGTCTTCCAGAAAAAGACACAGGCCCTGCGGTGTGGTCTCTCTCGACGAGCGGGCTGACGTACAAGAACGTTTATGGTCGATGAGCTTGAGGCGCTGAAGCTGCCCTGCCCACTACAAAGGTCCAAAGGAAGCACGCACGAACTCGGTGCACCCCCCGGTTCCCAGGTCAAAGACAGGTACACCCCCACCACCGAAAGCAAACACATCACAAGCAGTGTCACAGCGGCCCGCTCAATACAGTTGTGGAGCAGCTGCAGCCATGCCCCATACACACGCAGTTGACGCAGTTGACAGCAGTCAAACCCGCGAAAAATCTCGAATCATGGTGAATACAAGGGCATTTTCGTGTCAGTCCTTCTCCACAGCTATTATGGGATCAAACAGTGGCATGACTTCCCGCGGCGGGTGTATCCACTCCCTCCCTCACGTTCAAGTCCTGCGCCTCATACATTCTTCGTGGGGCTTGAGACATCCTGGTACTCGATGATGACATTGACGTCTGTTTCTTTTCATACATCCATGTCTCCTCCAATCGCATCACAACAATGGTCGACTGCGAAACGCTGCTAGCGAACGACGTTGCTCACTTAATGGGAGCGCTCTCGGACTGCTTTTCCCCTGTGACCCCCCGGATCATACCCGGCCCTTCTGATCCAGGAGCCACCACTTCCACCGATGTCATGTACCGCCATGCCGTCTTGGGATTTTTTGTTCTTCCAACACGCCTTTTGGCATGATTGCCGACAACGAGTTTCCCTGAAGAGACGCCCCCCCCCCCGATCGAAACGGCGAATTTCAAGTGCCGGAAACCGAAAACCACTCCTACCGAATCGAAACGGTAGAGAGCATGTATTGCATAGGACACATGTCCGCATGCCAAAGACGAGGAACCCCCCTATCGATTAACCCGGGCAGTTTCAGTGAGTGTGGCCAAACTTGGGCAGTTGTTACACTGGACCAAGGGAGGAACCATTTATTCATCGGACAAATTCACCGGCTGCCCCGGCTAATCGATGGAGGCTTTCTTCCCCTTTGGCATGCGGATATGCGTCGTAGCCAATCGGTAGGGGGCTCTCGGCATGTGGGTATGTGTCGCCTTGCTCTCTGTTTGATATGCTACCACTGTTGAGGTTTGGAAGTGGTGTTCGGCACTCGAAAAAAATGTCAATCTTCAACGCTCGAGGGAAGATAATGTTGCAACCTTCCCGCGAAAAAAAAACGAAGGCAAGCAACGCAGGCGGGGGTGAGGGAGAACCCTTTTTTGTGTGACAACGGATTGGAGAAGCTGCACTGTAGGCGTTGATGAAAAAAAAAATGTATTTGTATGCCTATCTGTACATACACGTTATCTCCAACCACCGGCGCTGCGAACGAGCTCGTGGTCATCACATACAGGAACGTTGGGCTCAAATCACATTGGAAGTGAGAGATTCAACGTGGCCGATATCTGATGCTCCTAGTTGTCCTACCCACCCGGTGCAAAGTTCTCTTCCGGGCGTGGTATGTAAGACTGCTGTACTCCTGCTGCCTTCAAGCTTGGCAGTCTCTCTCTCCTGGTCGCTGCATACAATGATGTATACGCACAGGGGGGAAACACTCCCTTTCCACGAACAACAACAAAGAAAGCGAGGCAACTGCGATCCAAACCTGCTTCTGCAAGAAGGGTCTGGCCCTACTCCTGCTGCTGCTGCTCTTGCTGCCGGAGCATGTTGTTTTCGTACGAACGAGATTGCGCCGCATTTTGCCGGTGCTGCTGACGCGATCGCATGAGGATGAAGCACGAAGCTGTGGACTCCGGACGTCGCAAGACGTAAAAGAAAGACCAACGAGGATGCAGCTGCCGACGAGTTTCCGAGCTTCATGACAGAACAAGGAGAGATCGGGGCGTATGGTACGTATGCGTCGCTGCTGTGGCAGTTGCATGCTAAAGGGGGAAGGGGGTGGTAACACAGCAGTCGCGGGGCCACAACAAGCCACGGTGCCGCTTCGGCACAATCACAAAGGTGACTTGCGTACCTGCTGTGTCGAAGTCGGCCCGACTACGCATCCCCATCTATCATCTATCATCTATCATCTATCTGCCCTGCTCCTCGCCCTTCACAGATCAAACTGGCGGAGGGCGAGCTATGGGCCTACGCGAGAGGTTTCTGACGGCTGCGGTGGCCCTACCGCTGGCCCTGTGGGCCATTTTCCATGACGCTTGGCTATGCCTTTCGCTGGTTCTGGTGCTACAGGCGGTTTGCGTGCAGGAGGTGGGCGAGCTTCTGCGCAGAACAAGGTGATGGTTGACCCTTGCGCACGTGGTGGGCCAATCTCTAAACTCTAATTGTCCCGGGACTGCTGCACTCTGACGGTGGTGTCTACTTCACCCCACCACCTGTACCGTGTACAAGCGCTGCTGCTTGTACGCAGAAAGTACTGCTGTTGTTCTTCTTCTGGACAACCAAGGGTGGCAAACATATGTACCAGTTGTACGAGACACCCAACACACCGAATACTGTACCGTAAAGAGACCGAACAGCCCCAACCGAAGAACTGCGTCCCACCGTTGGACACACGCAGGGCCGCTCGAGCAATAGCTGCCACGGGCGTTGGGGTGGCTTTGCTGGGCAGCACCTTCCTCTTCCACGTCATCGCCGAGACGGTTTCTCTGATCACCGCGTTCTGTGGCCGCGACGCTGCAGGTGGGCGATGTCTGTGACATGTACATACCAGGTACTCGCTGTAAACAACCACACACAAACGATCAGTAGATCTTCAGAGCAACGATGGTGCAGTTTTAGAGAGGGCTCAAAGAGGAGTTACAGGGATGGCCGTGATGAAGCTAGTAGTGTTGTAGCAATGTCCCTACCGCAAGGCGCGGTCGGATAGAAAACCAGTCTGTAGGGTAGAAGCCTTACACCCCCGCTGCATAAGACTACTGCTGTAGCACAGCAGCATGACGTTTTCGTTGGTCACCCGGCTAGCACGGTCGATGCTAACTCAAACCCGCTGTCAACGTTGCCCTGATTGCACGTTCACGGTTAAAATTGTACCTGTAGGGATCGCGATGTGCGTCGGTATGGCTTTAATCGTGGCCCGCCGCCTGGTGCTCATGCGTGACCATTGGGTTGCTTCGAAACTCTCCGCGGAGAAACCGGTTGGGGTTAGTGGTGGTGGTGGTGGTGGAGGCGGAGAAGGGGATGGTGCTGGGGTGATGGAGGCTGGAGTTTTCCTGCTGGCCCTCGAAATTTCGGCGATGCTTTGGATGGTCTGTGGCTGCTCCTCGCTCGTAGCGCTTCGATTCAGGTGCTGCCTGTGTTGTGTTGCTATTTTTTCGACTCATACTGCGGAAGATTGGATTGATTCTCTACCCCTTCTGCGACAGACTTCACAGTTTTGCACCATGTCTTCCCAGATCGCAGCATTTTTTTTCCTCTCCCGGCGCACCACCGGCCAGCAATCTTAGGTCGCCGGTTGTTTTCTCTGCCGCGGTTCTCTCCGCGCACCCCCAGGACAAAATCACTCGAATACAGAGTACTTCGGCGGTCCGCTGTGATCTGTTCGACCGCATGCTGCGTGTCTGCCTCTACCTATAGTACAGTAGTGCTCCTGCTGGCGTTGCAATCACTTATTTTTGTTGAACCTCGTACACTCTGTCTTCGCATCACTCCAGCCACAACGGCTGTCATCCCCGCGCGAAAGCGGCGTGCGGAGTCAATCGCTCGCTGAGATCCATACTCGTCAACCATGCGTGTGCATGTGCAGTGATCAGCGCGCACGAGCTTCATCCGTTTGACGCTTGGCTCCCCATAGTAATTTTCGGGGGTGGAATGGTTGGCAAAGAGCGGCGATGCGGGCTACAACAACGATCTTTCGGGGGGCCGAATAGTTGGCTACAAGGAAAGGTGGATAATTGATTCCACAACCAGCGAGGAGTGAAACACCCTTATCTTCGTGCGTCGGCGGCCTCCGCGTGCATTGCGTCGACCCACATGTTTATGTGTGATTGAGAGCGAAAGGCATACCATGCTATTGTTGTAGCTGATGACAATCCTCGGTCATGGTGGGAGACGGCATGTCGTCGTCTTCTGCCATCTACGTTTGTATTGCTATTTGCGCATGGTACGTTTTCCGGCTCGTGCGTTTCTGCGACTTGGATTTCTCCACGCAAATGCACAGTACCATCTCGACTGGTGTCCGTAGCACAGTTTTTCTCGGTCTTCGCAGTCGATGCTGTCTTTTTGGCTTCTCCGTGTTCTTCGATAGGAGCATTTCCGGGCATCTGTGCTATTTTTCGTGTTGGTTCTGCACGCAAGAACTACTGTATCTCACCTTCTTTTTGTGTAAGCAGCAATGGGAACGAGCCTCAACATGTTTCCGACTTTCTTTATCTTGGACCAAGGGACACCGTCATTGTACATTGTCGAAATTCTCGCGTTGCCACACACCAACCTCTCGACTGGCAAATACTCTTCTCGCGTCACACAACACGTCGTCTCTTACGCCTCGCCTTGGACAACATCTCCTCCTTGTGGTACACATTTCATTGCAATATTCCAAAACCATCACTCCAAGAATTTTACGCACCGTATTCATCCCTAAGATGCAAAATATGTCTTGGAATCGCTTCAGAAAGCGTGGCGGGTGAAACCGCCGGGAAAACCCTTTATTTTGAATATATTCCCCCCTCCCGTATTATTGATTTTCTAATTACGGCTGCGACACCGCCCGTGCTTCTTTTCGACAATTAATGCAGGGGCTCAAGAGGCGCTGCAGACGTTGTTTTTCTCCTGGCGGTTGTGTTCAACTCGGACAACGGAGGGTTGCTGGCGGGTGAGAAGAACGCTACAATATATAGGATCGAGACCTCAATCAGTCTCGGCGTGAAGTACATGTCATCAAAGTCAGCTACACCAGCGATGGAAAGCTTTTGGTGTCGTCCGTCTATCGACGCCACCCTGACCCTCCGCCCGGGCGCAAGCGCTTACTACACGCAAGTCACGGCAGCGTTCTTCGGAAGGTAAATCCCTCGTTTTTATTCCCTTTTTTCTGCTTGTCCGATCCGACTGGCCATACCCTTTCTCGCAGGCTCCATGTACAAGGTTCTTCGACGAAAGCGGCAGCTGCACCTTTCCAGCAGCGAGCTTCTCCAACGACACCAACGATCGTCTGCGAGTCAAACACCGCCGGCCGCCGCTGGTGCCGCCGAGATGACCCCCGGGCAAAAACACCCAGGTCTCCTCACCGTCGCGAGTCCCGGCAAAACCTGGGTAGGCGTCACTGGATCCATCGCCCTGGGAACGGCCACTGCCCTGACTCTCGAACAGGCTCTTCTCTTTCTTTTGCATGAACCGTTGCTGTCGAGAGTCGGGGAGAGCCTTCCGGGCGAGGAGGAAAGAGGGGGTGTTTTTTCCGTCGGGGGCATGTCATCCGGGCGCCTCGGGGTTGTAGGGGCGGGCCTCTGCATCGTGGGCGTCGTGGGGGATTTGTGGGAGTCTCTGCTGAAGCGGACGGCGATGGTAAAGGTGAGCCCATGGTCACCTGGTCAATCCATCTTGTGCTTTGTCGCCGTGGGTTAGTGAAATACACACATGCTGAGCGGTCTGACACGTGAGTCGTGCGTTGCTTGACTCAAATGAAACGGTTCGGTCCACGGCCGCGCAGTTTTGCTCTTTTTGTGACTACAGGTCCGGTTCAGTTCCGTTTTTCAGTTCCAATCAGTTTGCGTGCCGAAAGATCGCCGGTGTGCCTCACCTAAGAGGGAAAAACATACGTAGAGACCAGAAGAGAGGCATAGAGGCAGCCAGCCCCAATGGCACGCATACTAGCAATGTGCAAAGGGCACACACAGTACTAGTTCCCAATTGCAATTTTCCATGCCAGTCCCTCTGATGTGGGGCACATGTCCTTTTTCCATCGCCTATGAACTGCCTACTTACTGCTGTATGATCCGAAGGGAAAAAACAATGCCACGTCGGGTACATCAAACACCCTTCGACATATGCTCAACCCGGCCACGCGTGCGCGCGAGAGAGCAGAGACAAAGCATGCCGCAATCACCTACTGGCCCGGTGCTTGCGGGTGTTGTGGTTGTGGTGTGTGTGGTTCCCAGTAGGAAGTGAAAGGAGGTGCGCCTGTCATGTGCAATGTTTTGCTCAAAAGGAACCTGTGTTCGCGACTACAGTTCCGATCTCCCCTGTCTATTGCTTGGTACAGAATCGAACTAAATAACAAACTTTGCGTTTTTTTTTTTTTTTTAAAGCAATAGTGGATGATGGTCGATGAGCCGTTAGGTTTTGCATCGATCGGGCGCGTGTAGTGGGTGCTGCATTTTGCCCTTCAACGTTTTCGCATCTAACGCTGGTAGTATATGAGCTTGGCGAATCCTTTGTCCAGAGATATTGTAGAAAAAGTCATTGTGCTAGCTTCCACACACGTGCATCCTCTGTGCGGATGGTTGTTGTCCGACAGAGGCATGCACCTGCTCACCACATCGATGCTGCTGTACATTTTTTCTCTCTGCTCATACCACTGCTGTACAGCAGTGGTACTGCTCCTGTTCGTCACGCTTGCTTTAACCCGCGCTTCCATCGCTATGAGCCCCACATATGACTCTCATCTGTTTTACCATCCTTGCCGCCGTGGTTTATATGTGTACATGCGCGGAAGGTCTTGGAACACGGAGAACAGTTGTGGGAAGTTAAAAAAAAGGAGTCAAAATGAACCCAGCCATGGAAGGGTTACTTCGTAGAACGTATCTCCGTGTTTTGTACTGCTCGGATTAAATTGTTGTGTTCCCTGCCAACTCGATTCACATGCCAGCCATGGTGTTACCCGGTGTGCACCCATCCAGGATTCCGGCACAGTCTTTCCTGGCCACGGGGGCTGCCTGGACCGTCTGGACGGCGTCTTGACAGCAGCACCGCTATACTTGGCTGTCCTCACGGCGTTTGGGTTGTCACCAGTGGATGAGACATAGATATGGCCGCTGATGTTCGCACACGGTAGCAGTGTTTTACTGGTTTCAAGATTACGTGCGACGCAGAATGTCCCTCGCCGCTTGCCCACACGTGCATGACCTCCACTACCCTAGTACCCGGTGTTGGGTTTCGGCGTCATGATGCGGAGGCCGCGACTTTCAGCTTTCATCGCACAGGTGATGATTCGGAAAAGTTTCCTATTAGCTTGCGCCACGTGATTTCCCGGTCGCCCTCAAGCGGCAAGTGCTCACCGGGAGCAGAACGGTGAATGGCCAAGCGACGTTTTTTTGGAACCACGTACTCAAACACAACGGCAAACCAACGTCAAGTCGAGGAAGAATACGATCAAAGACCTAGTCTACAGTAGTGGCGTGCAGTAATCCTGCAAGCTGTGGTGTGCCCGAGCATGACTATGGTGAAACGGTCCCGTTGTGTTGGTACCTCCGCCTGTGCCATGGTCGGGCGGTGGAGTGAAGGAGCGGGTTGAATCGCGGTGAAACGTTTTACCCGCCTGATCCGATGCGTCCATGATTCTTCTCCTGTTGCTGTCATGCTGTTTGAGACCGCCACCACACTGGCATGTCTTCAGAGCACACTCGCTAGCCAAGTGACCACACACCACACACGTATTTTTTGGCTTGCGGTGAGGTGGATACCATGGTGGTGCACGGTGGAAAGAAAGATCGCCCCGGATTGCGGATGAACGCGGAGGAACATTTACCCGTCGCCGTCGGATCATGGATCGTGGATCGTGCCGAACTTATTTCATGCTGTAGACATAGACTACTGCCTGGGACCGTTACAGCACGGCCATGTCTTCCACGCAAAGCCACTGGCTGTCTTAAGCTTGCTTGCCGCATGACCAACTGGGCCTCATCTCTTTGGTCTCCGTGATGTTACAAATTGCGCACTATATTGTTGTCAGCACTGCACGATGCGTGTTGTTTCGTCTGGTGCACACGCACATAGTACGACCGACATACGGCGTGCGGTTGAGGAAGATGGGCGGGGGAGGTAAGTGACGCCCATCTGTACTATCGAGTTGGCACCCAACGAGGCGTGTGCGGGAACAACCGCTACCGCCGTGTCATATATACCAACCCTCCGCCCTCTTCGTGACAACGCTCTCGCCACTTCGTCTTCATCTCGGTTTTGTTTTATTCCTCGTTTTTTGGGGCAAAACCATTCGACATCGCACCGAGCATTTGCTTGCGCTGCTCTCGTTTGATGTATCTGTCTTGAAAGGTCGAGCTACGCCAAAAAAGCGGAACCATCCTTGTTTTGCGCTTGCACGTCATCGCGAACTCCCTTGCGAATGCGCTTCTTCCGCGTTCAATCCAGTTGGTGAGCCACCTATACAGTAGTCTATAAACGTGAAAAAAAAATCAAAACACATAGGCCTACCAATCGAAAATCGGGGTCATTTGGGGGGGGGGGGGGGGGACGTAAACCCATGTATCCCCGGGTTTTCCCCCCAGGCATCCGCGCTTCGGGGCGGAGGGGGGGGGGCACATACCCATGTATCCCCGGGTTTTCTGCCGAGTTTCGCTCGCGAAGCCCCGAGAACGCGTAGGCAGTATAATAATTTGAGACCATCCCACCCACCCCACACTCGGTACCATTATGTGCGGGATACGCCTCCGGTGCTTCGAGAGCGCTCGGCACCGGCGGGGGAATATCCACAGGCGAGTACCTCCGGCCGCGGTTGGAGGCCTCATCCAATCTATACCCAATACTTACATCAAATGATACCCTCGGAGGTAGAGAACACCTCAGGAACATTTTTGCCAGTAAAACTATTGGTATCCAAGTTTGATCTTCCAGGAGCAGCAAATTGCCACACCATATGTCCATGTCCTGGGACGAGGACCTACAGGCGACCGTATCCGAAGCCTTGTAATAGTCAGTCAAACTTCCCTCTACACCTACCTCTCCCCCTGCCTCTTTCGCTTTCCCCCTGCACTCATTGCATGCACCGACATTTTCGTGATCGCAGCCAGCTGACTTTTCGCTAGTGCAAGTCAGGCCCGCTACTCCTCGAGAGGATAGTCGGACGTCGCGTTTTCTTCTCTCTCCAGGGCGCACTCCGCATCCACCATTGAAGAAGCCTCCGGAGCTGTCTAGCGTGCACGGCATCATTGCTGGAAGCTTAAACGCGAAGTGTCTTAGGACCCAGCCGCCATCATCACTCAGCGGCGGTGCCGATGCCGGACTCAGCGCTGCCTCCGAAACGCAGCAACGAGATGACGGCCTCCCTCGGAGCTTTGCTCCTCCGGACGTGGAGGCGGCTGATGGAATGGTGGTGCAACTCTAGGGACTTCACCACGGTGTCCAGGCTGCCCTGGATTGCCTGGTGGTCTGTCCGTGCAAGGACCATACATCTCTGTGGATTGGACAACGTGACATGGGCCACCTTGAGAGCGCGGCAAACGAAATGCCGCCCGAGTAAGACACGACATCCCTCAATCGTTCAAATAGAAGCAAAGACACGTTACCCAAGCTACTTTTTCCCCTTGACGTCGGCTTCAACAAAAGTCAGCCGGCATACGGTCACCTAAATTATTGGTGTCCTTCCAAAATCAAAATCCTTCTATTCTCAACTGTTGCGTCCTCTTCCGCACTGAACAAAGTGCAGAAACACGCTTTCTAAAACAAGGTGGGTAGAAAGCAGCACACCCTCCCCACCCCACCACAAAAACAAGACAGAAACGATCCGACTTTCACGAAAAAGAAACGATATCCCAGAGGACGAAAAGCACGGTAGGACGCGCACAGTAAATACGAGCAGGTCGCTTAAACACGGAATATAAGTCAATGACCAAAACGTTCCAATAAATAGAAATAAATTGGGGTTCGATTCCGGAGAGGGAGCCTGAGAGACAATACACCCGGAGGAACCTAGCCTCGCCCTGTCGCGGAGTCGCGGACTCTTAATCCTCGAGCTTTCCCGCCTGATAAGCCAGTCCATGGGTCTCTCTTTGACTAGCTAGCCATGGGGCATTCGCTGAACCGGCCGCACGGGCTACTAGTTTTACCTTTTGCGCCGTGTGTTTAGAGGTAGAACTGTCCACAAGGAGGCACAGGGGCTTGGAAACTTGTCTTGTACACTCCAGGAAAGGAAGTTACCTTCTGTGAACGCTTTTTGGGGACGAAGAGTTGCGTGCTTCGGTCATCTCGTGGTCTGTCAAACCAGGCTGCTCGAAGAAGTGACTGCGTGTTGGTCGTGCTGCAAACATTCGCCGCCGTTGATTTCTGCCATCATCCTTCTCAAACGGCAATACGCGTTTCTCTCCGAGAGACCCACCAGTCACTCTCCTCAAAGGGGTCTACTCCTCCCGAAAAGAAAAAGGCAAAATCACGAAAAAAAAGTCGTTTGCGTCGTTCTCTCTCGACCGGAGCATCATCAATAAGGCGATTCCGCCTCTACTTGATGACGACGACTTGCTTGCTCCACCTCTCCTGCATGGTCTTCTCAAGAAAGCCGGCCTGGAAGCCGCTCTTGGACGACATCGTCACCTTCTCCCGCTGCACGGCAAACACGCCCGAGAAAGCGGTCGTCTCGGCCACCATCGCCACGAAACCTGTTCGTTGTCCAACGGAGGAGCAGCCGAAACGCCAGTGTCGGGACGACACCCAAAACACGTGTAAAGAAGAGAAGGAAGCAAAGATGGGAGACGTGGCGCGAAAGGAGTCGATTGCGAGGGGGGAGGGCTCTCGGACATGTTGCCAACACCAACGGCCCGACAGAAGGCCCGCAACCCCGTCGCCATGGCAACAACAAGACTGCACGAAACGCGCCATGAAAGAGCATGTGCATACAAAGACTACTTGGTGGTTGATATTTTTACAGCACCCAAAAAATCATGACGTTACCTCGACTCGGTACTTGGATCTTGAAGATGAGGAGTTGATTGACTCACTATATCGCCACAAAAAAAACAATCACGCACTTGTGTCCGAGTACACAGGTCACCACAAACCGGAAAATGTGATTTCTTATCAGCCACCATTCATCCGAAAGAGGCACAAATATTTCGGTCGGTATCTCAAATTACGGGGACGATAGTGCCAATGAGAAAGTAACCCTTCGCCTTCGACACATCCTCCAGATTTCTCAAACAAACGTTACGGCACTATAATACTGACAGGGGCAAAAACACGAGATCAAGCTTAGCCCACATGAAGGACGTTAACATGTATTGGATTATAAAGGAGGGATGACGTGTACGTGTGCCAAGAGCCGCACAAAGAAAAATTGGTACAAAAACACGTAATTGACGCAAGTAATGCACGGATTAAACGAGCTGGTTTTCCCACAAATCCTGCGGAAAGGATTGCCTTGTTCAGAATGCTCCCTGCTTTGTTGTCGAAACAAATCGCGTGACGACATAGACCCATCCCTGTTCTACCCCAACAGCCTGAACAAACGCGATCAAAGATTGCCCCTGCGAAACAGTGACTGACCTTGCTTCAAGATGTTGGTGGAGGGGTGTCCCCAAGCGAACAGGATGGCCACCCCTCCCGGCAAGAGCTGCTGGGAGTCCACGTCGCAGAGCGGCCCGATCATCAGGCGGTACCCCTGCCCATCGCGCTTGCTGCGCGGTTCGATTTGAAGCGGTACGGGAACGGGAACGGATCGTACTTATGTACAACAAGGCCAGTTTCAGTTGTGACAATAAAAAAAAAAAACTCGAGGGTTGCATGAATCGAGAAAAAAAGAAAGACGAGAAAAGCTTCGGCGCTCAGAAGCACAACGTTTTCACCAAAGTGCCAACAAACCCGAAGTGTTCGATCATGCCCGTCCCGCCTTGCTTTGAATGGAGGAAGCGAGCGGGGAGGGCACACTCAACTTGGCGGAGACGCCGAACAACGGCACCACGGCGGTGTGCACCACAACGAGGCGAGACCTAGCCGCCGAAACGAAAGCAAAAAAAAGCTCAACAATACTCTCCAACAAGCAAGGGGCTGGCTCAAAAGGAGAGAAGGAGACTTGCACGCACGCTGGCTCGCGTCGAGCAGTGGGCGACCAGCTCACCTAATCTCCAGGAACTGAACCGGAGACGTGGAGGCGTTGATGAACACCACGCACAGGCATCGAGTGGAGTTCATTCCGACGTTGGCGCTACTCCTGTTGTTTTGCATCGCCGGGTTAGCGGAATTGACAGGCATCATTGGCGTGAGGGAATAGCAGCGGTTGGAAGAAGCAGGTTTGTCATGCTGGAGTCGCGTTTTTATGTGTAGCAGTTTCGCCCTCGATTGGCACAGCACGCCTGAACGATGTCGTCTGCAAGCAACGGCCACGGCGGCGACAACCATGACAATGACGGCAACAACAACAACGAAAACACCAGCACCAGCACCAGCAAACGGCGCTCAGGTCTCCGATCCCCACCCACCAGTTTTGAATGAGCTCCCACGTAAGGTAATCCAGGCCGCTCCAGTTACCTACAACGAACGACTGCAGCTGCCGCTCCGCTCGATCGAGAACCTGCATCATTAACACCGCCGGAATACAAAAGAACGCGAATTTCCGTATGTTGCACACCGTGCGACCTGCGTACAATACAGCCTCCACGTTTCCGAAGTAGCGAACATAGTCAAGACAGCATAGTTTTTGCACCTTTCGGTTCATGCGGGACGCAACAGCCAGGGTCGTACAGGATTACGCCGGCAAGAACTCCTGTCGTTTCTCTGATCAAGAGTCCGGAGAAGAAGTGGAGAGATGCGCTCGAAGTAACATCTCAGAGGCGGCGACATTTGTTTTCATTCTCGCCTGGGCATTGCTGAGCCCGTGACTTTGGATCTGGCGGCCGCAGGCACTGCCGAAGGTATACGCCTTGAGGGAGTCCTTCATGGAGGTGCTGTATGCCCGCATGGTCATCGCCAAAGGCGGTGCCTGTGGCAATGTCGTGCGGGGCAGGCGGGCAGCAATCACAAAGACAGAGCAGGGAAAGATGGATAGGAAGGGGATGGTGAGGGCCATCGGTGAATCCGAACGTTGTGCCTGACTGCTGCTGCGCCGTACAACTCCGCGCTCAAGCCATTCAAACGTCCTACGTTTCACCTGACCCTCAAGCGTGCATGACCCTACACACGTCTTTCCCTACGTACCTTCCCCAATACAAACCCAAAGAAGAAAGGTCGTCCTTCCCCATTCCCCACCCAAAAAATAACACAACAGAACACATAAACACACGCACGTATTCGTCTTTTTATTACGAACGCAAGCCTAAAATACCGACACCGACCATTTCGAAAGCCCCCGTGCCAAAGACTTCTTCAGGGGTGCGCATGGCCGTCGGGTCGCCCATCTTGTCCCGGTGCACGTAAAACTGTCGGTACAGCTCCTCCCTGTTCGACGTCGTCGTGGGCATGTGTCATGTTTCATGTTGCACGGCAGTTGCGATGAAAAAGTGTGATGAACATGCGACTAGTTGTGATGAAGTGAGATGAAAAGTGTGATGATAGCAGCATGTCGTGTGTGATAAAACGTGGGCATGGGCAGTACCACAGTCGGCGTCTACCGCCGCGGGTCCATCGCTGTACGTGACGTGCATCAAATCGCGGCAAAAGTGATTAGCGGCAATGCCAGAGCGCGTTCGCATCACACCCACGAAGGAGCCTCGCAGGGTTGTAAAACCTGGCGTTCATGCTTCGAAACAAACCACCTCCATACACAACTGTCAGTTAAAAACGGGGGGGGGGGGGGGTAGATCAGTCAAAATTCAACAAACCGACAATAGTGATTGTCTTGCTTGAGAAGCGCGCTGATCGACATCGTTTCCAGCAGGTGAATCGCTCTTCCGGCACATTGTTGTTGAATGTGCCGCTTGGACCAAACTCTAGGCCCTCGACGCAAGCTTCAACAACACGTGCCAGCAATCGAACTGTTCGCGCAACCTGAGTACCTCCTGGATCCGATAGCGGCCTTGAGGGAGATGTCCCCGCCATTGTACCGCCCTATTACGATGCTTTCGGCCACCGCGTCTACCCTTGCCACCTCTTCCCACGGCTTGGACACCTGGACACGACAACACATGGAAAACGAACGTGAACACGCGTCAATAGAACCGTTTGCGAACAGTCGCCGCCGATGATGAATATGCACCTCAACGATGCGGTTTCATTCTTGTGCTTCGCCAAAACGCAAGCATCCAAACACAATCAATACAAACAACAGGACGCGTGGACACGTCCATAAACCATATCGAGCAACCAAGCAACGAGTACAGAAGCATCGCCGAATATCGCGTGAGGGCACATCCGCAGCTCCCTGTACCAACAACCTTCCATGATCACCGTCGGAACCACACGCACGTCAGGACAACGCCTTTGTCGAATCAACAAACGACATGAAAACAGGAATGAGAAAGCGACCCAAGCTTTCCAACACCTACGTGAGCAGAGAGCGGGATACAGGCATGTACGAGGGAAACCTCGGGTGGGCTGAATTTCGGGTAAAGACGCGATTCACCAACCCACCATTTGCAAAGGCTTGGCAGCGCCCGACCTTTCCAGCATCTTGGCCGACCCCAACCGGTCATTCTGTGGACAAGGAACAGAGGGACGGGGGTGAGGAGGCTTCGCTTACCACAGTGCATACCCCCCGAGGGACAAGGATACGGGCCAGGGCGACCACCGATGACGACTGCGAAGCAAACAGGCCCGAACTCTTGCCATAGAAACACAGAAGATGTACCATACTTGTATAAGATGCGGTAAATACGTGTTTCGGAACGAACGAAGTCCGAGACATCCTGCCCCCATTTGTTTTTTCCTCCAGCCGTTTTGTCCACTTGGGACGGGAACTTGCCGTCATTGCATTACGATCACGCGGGACAAATCTCTTGGTACCCGGATGAGATTGATTAACCCACATTGAATGTCGTACATGGACGGGTTGCGGGAAGTCACTTTCGGAAATCAAGTCGAAAAGGAGGACAATGTCAGGGCTTGAAGGTTTCGACCGTTGACGGAATGCGAAAAGGGCGCGCCGCTGCTGCAGGGGGATAAGTCGGCGGATGGTGATTCTTATCAACATTCACTCTGGCTACGCAGCGTTAGCTCCGTAGACGATAAGTTTTGCGTTCGCCTTGGTGTAGCGAGCGCTTCATGGATCCTGTATGATACCACGCACATCGATGAACTTCCTAGTGAATGAACGACACGCCGGTTCGTGCGAAGGCCACCTCCGCAAGTAGACGCCTCCTTCCCTCTCAAAAAACAACACACCATGTACTAGAACCCCTTTGCTAAGGGGATGTGTGACCAGCCACTCAACGAAAATCTTTCTCACAGACAAAGACGAAAGACTTCGCCTCCCCCCCCCCGCCCCCCTGCATATCACCCCGTCGTGGTGCGAGAACTCGCCTTTGTCCGCTTGACCAAGATCATCCTGGTGTCCGCGAAGATGATGGTCAGGTCGCTAATCTGCGTGTGGGACTCATACTTGTCGCCCGTGCTTCCCTTGCCAGCCACCCCGCTCTCGACCAGCGCCTGCAATTTCATTTGTGAGTTGTACGTGAGTAGCCCTGAGCATCCCTGAGGGCTCCTCATTGGATACGGTAAATGTGCGAGCTATCGCACGCACCCCGTGGTCCGACTTTCACGGACCAGTTTTATCCACAACCAAAACGTGTGCCAATGCCGACAAGGGTTGTGGGGGAATCATCACGTCCAGAGGTCTCCTTGCTGCTTCGGTCGGTTTGCGCACCCTCTCGGTTGAGGAGTAGTCAAGAGTTGAAAGTCAGTTTAGGGGGGGGTGCGATCACTCGCACTTGTACTGTAGTCGGTGACTTCTGTGCGAGCATCATGTGAAAACATTCCTGGGGCTTGCGTGAATTTTCGGACGGGGTGTCCTGGTACGCAGTGTTTTACGGTCTGATGGTGCGTAAAGCTACTGCGCCATAGTTCGGAGTACGCAGAAGCTTGTTTCATCGGGTAGGCGTGACATTCATCAACCATGAAAAAGCGAAGGGGCAGCAGCGAGGAAAGACGTTCAGGCGGTGGATCCTGGTACCGTACGAGGTAAATTCTACCGAAGCCGCGTAAGACTTCGAACCCAAGCACTGGTGGACGTAAGGTGAAAGTGAAGATGTGATTGTGCCGCACCCATGTGCATACAGCAGCAACGACGACGCAAACAACAACACCGAAAACAAAAACGCCTTGCCTGTGCCTCCGCCGCTTCCATGGAGAAGTCCAATAGCACCAGCTGGCCCGTCTCCGAGTCCTTTGTCAAGGCCCGCCGCGGACGAAGATGCTTCTGCCGCTGAACGTTCTCCGCCTCGTTGGAAATGCCCTGAATTTTGACGAATAACGGAGCGAGAGACAAAAAACGAAAGGATGAAAAAATACTACGGGGAGTCAGGGAGAAACCCCCGCGGATGGCTTGAACTTCCCCGAAAGGAATGGCGGGCGGGAGAGTCCCGGCTGGGACGAAAATCATGCATTCGGGACATTAAAAGCGACCACCACCACCACCAACAACAACAACAACAACAAACCTGCGCGACCGAGATGACCGAGTCGGTCACCCCCACGACGGGCTTCACCACGGCACCAACCAGGCCCTTTCCCACGCCCTTGAAAAATCCGCCGACACCTCCCTTCTTGGCTCCGCTGACGGGATCCATGAATATCCCCGAAACACCCGAGGTGAGGCCTCCGGCGATATCTTTGCTCCCCTGAGAACCATGCAGGCGGCGAAAAAACAAATGATCAAGCAAGTTGAGGGCGACACTCAAACAAGGAAGTGGTGGCCTTTGGCCTGGCGCGCTTCCTCACAGCATCATTTTTGATGAGCATTTGTCCAACATCGCTTGGTAGGTTTCGTTCTTCGAGTTAAGGGCGATGCAATTCGACCAATAGACGGTGCCAAGGTATCAGCGCTCGGCGGACCCTTGCCCCCATGCCGCCCCCCACCGTACCCCTCTCTCCCCGCCGCCCAAAGGAAACAACACCTCCAAGTGGAACAATGCCTCAACACTCAAGGCGGAGCTTCTTCAGCGGTAGTTCTTGAAAAACCATGCGCATGATCCTGTTGTTAGTGCTGCTTCTACCGCCGTCACCATCCCCACCTCCACGCTAGAAAGTACATCTGCCCTCTTGACTCTCTCCTTGTTCGTTGGCATCCTCTCCAAATTGAATGCAACTCTGAGACCACATGCTTCGAAATGAATACAAGCACTCATGCTATCAGAGTAAACATGTATACAAAACATTGTCGGGGGTCTCTCTGTGATACGCACCTGCAGCAGTCCTTGGCCCACGCCCCCCTGGTTGGCTATGGCCTTGTTCTTGTCTCTCTCGCGCCTCAGCTGGTAATCGTTGTCGAAGGATAGCTTAGACACCGTGTCGGTAACAGCCCCGCCGACGCCTGCCACGGAGTTGAAAACCCCCTTAACAGTGCCTTAAGTGTTAACGTCGGTGGGGGGGGGGGGAGGGGGGGGGGGTGAGACTACGCGACAAGCACCAGGGGTGAAAGGGCGGCAGCAGCGAAACGGAGAAGCGATAACGACAACGACGACGACAACAACAACAGCCCTGTGTCACCTTTCACAAAGCTGTGAGCGCCGCGACCAACCCCCTCGAAGAATTCGGCCGGCCCTTGCACCAGGCCCTGCGCCGGTGCGTACACGAGAGCCTTGGCGCCGCCCCCGATGTTGCTGATCAAGTCCGCCGGGCTGCCCAACGCGCGCATGGCACCCACGAAGCTAAGCACCTGGTGGGGAATTGCAGCGGCGCCGAATGGTTTCGAAGGTGGGGCGGTGGGTTGAATCGCGGGGGGTGACGCGATGGGAACAAGGAGTAGGGAATGTACTTGTGAGTAGTGGTCCCTGCATAAGCCCGCAGGGTGCCAAGGGATGTGTGAGCGGCTTTCCGCCGGACACCCGGCATCTAGACAACTTGAATGGGTCATCTGTGTCACGCGATTCCACCCGGTCTTGTACAGGGCGGCACACCTTATTTTCGTGGCCGTCACGTATGGACCACTGCTGCACAAAGTGTGCCTAGTATTGCGTCAAACATTCTGCAGGTGGTGTCTAACATCGTGGCGAGACAAGAGCCCAAAGGCGACCAGGGCGACGCTGCACCCAACGTGCTCTCTCGCTAGGGAGCCGCTCCAAAATTAGTTGCGCGTGGAGGGGCAGCACATGCACGCACACACGTGGCTAGTTTCTCTTTGGCTACGAAGATCCTGCGGCGCTCAGCAACACACCCGGGCGTCACATGGGTCGGAAATCACGCGGGGGTGTCGACGCGGGACAGGTGATGGCACTCAACCGCGGACGGATGGAGCGAGGTATCATCGTGGGCAGTTTGCTCGCCTTGCACAAGGCTTTCTACAAAGCACGGTCTGGTTGGAACTGGTCTATCTCGGCTGGGTGGGGGGGATGTGCATAACATTGTTGTACCTGCGAGGTCGCAGCGACGAAGTAGTGCGAAATGACGTTCTTGGAGATGTCTCTGACGGTGCCAAAGGCATCCTCCACCAGGTAGGATGCCAAGTCAACCCGGCTCTTGACCATGGTCGGGATCTTGTTGATGATAGCCCACCCGGCTTTCTTGACGAGTCGCTGAAATTAGCACCAAAGTATGTGTACGCCGAAATGAGTGCGCCAGCCACGAACCGAACCGAACCGAACCGAACCGAAGCGAAACGAAACGAAAAAGAAACGAAACGTAGCGAGACGAAATGGAAGAGGAATGGATGGTGAAAGGTGATTGGGAATAAGTGCCGACATTGGCCTAAAACAAACCCGTGATGACGGCGCCTTGAAGTAGCAGCTGAGCACGACACCGCAGGTGACTGGAACTCAGATTTGGAGAAACGACGGACGCGTCGAACGGCAGCAAAGTTCTACATCGCCGCCTCTTAACGGCGCGGGTTGAATGAAGACTAAGATTCAGAGTCAACGCGTTTTTCAAAGCAATGTTGTCTAGAATTATGGTATCAAGGTAGGCTTCTTGCATGAGGTAAAACTCCCCAGCTAGATGCGCAGCGTGCAGAGTAGAGTCCGTCCAAAAGCAGAACGCACTGAAGCAACCAACCAACACTCACGTCCGATGCGGGAGAGTTTACGTAGCTCAAGCGCAAGATGATGGGGTGGAACTGCATGGTCTTGAAGTACTTCCGTTGGATGCGGGCAGTACGCCGGACCTGTGGGGGTATGCAGGAGCGACGACGATAATGCCAACGTGCCGGTTTTTTCACCAGGGGGAAGATCGGGAAGAGGAGGGAGGGGGTCAGAGATATTGGTGGAGGTTAAGGGAACTCTTAATGAGACGAGCGGCGGTGAGGGGTCACATATGCAGAGGGCCGACCAAGCAGGAAAAGCTGGTTAAGTAGGCTAGATTCACGAAGGACTGGGCCAGAGAAGCAGAACCGTACCGAGGAAAATATGTAACAACGGCACGACGCTGCGCTCGACAAGAGCGATAGAAAAGCGCACCCGGATTGCCTGTACGGTCAAACCCATCACGGATCATACTCCGCCAAAACCGAAGCAAACCGTGGTTACACCAAGGCCACGGCGGTAGACCCACATCCCCATCCCAACCCATGCCACCCACCTCCTCGACGTCGACAGAGCCACCCGGCACGTCGCGCGAGCCCCTCTCAAGCACTTGCGCCGTGCGCTCGACCACCCAAGCGGGGCTGTCCAGCTGCTGCCTCCACATCAAGAGGTACCCCTGCAACGGCTTGCACCACACCAGGAGGTGCAGAAGGGTCGCTCGATCCGACATCAAGTCAACCTCCAGCATCCTGCCGGGATATTCAGAAATATTCCCCCAGGGTTTGGGTAAGGGTTAACGCTAGATTCAGCAGCCCAAGCAGGAATGAATGAACCCAAGATGAAGCCCAAAGAGGGGGGAAGGTGGAAGTTAACAACGCATCAAAGGAGGTGCGCGTTCCTGTATATTCGAAACGGGAACGACAGCTCTTCGACGGTCTTGACGAAACGGCAGTTGGTTCACTCCATCAGTGTGAATTTACAGCCTTTCGCGGTGGCACAACCGTTTTTCGCGCTTCATTCTTCAACGAGAAAAAGCAGAGAGAGAAAGAGAGAGAGAGAGACCATGGCCTTGCAAATAATGTTCCGTTTGCAGCCGCACCGAGACTGGCGTCGTTTCATGGTTCAGCGGGATAGCGCTGTCGATACCAACAACAAAGACACGGACAAAGACGCTTACCGGAAAGCGACGTAGTCGTAGTGGGCCGTATTGGTGGCCTGGTTGACCTCCTTGATGATCGATAGCTGTAGGAAGGGCGTTTCTTGCTGCGGCCTGCCGCTGCTGCTTCTACCGCTTTCGCTCCCAAGGCTACCGCTGCCGCCGCCACGGTTTCCGTCGCCTGCAGGAGGCGGCCCTTCCTGTCTCTTGCTGAGAAGGACGGGATATATGCTGTCCGGGAGGTGGTTGTCCACCTGACAAAGAAGTTGACGACCGAGCGGAACGGGAGAGAACGCGTTACTATTCATCGACAGTCCACGGCCGCCTTGGTTCGGCTGTGAGAATACTTTCCCCGTGAGTGTCCATAAAAAGCTTCTCTAGAACCAGAGCAGGTGTACCGCGCCAGAGTTCTGTCGAACACCGAATTTGCTCGAACCGCTATGCCTCCAACCGTAGGAGCGACTGCTTTACCGGTAATCTGACTATTGCTCCGTGTAACAGAACAGTGAGGAGCATCCAGCAGAAGCGGCAGCATTTCAAAGACTGTACCTAGAAACGAGTTTCGCGTCTGATAGGGACGCCATGCAAACCGGCCTCCCATCGTAAGGAAGGACCAACACAAAATCACGTTCTTCTTTCAAGCGGGAATCGATTCATCTGCAAAACAGCAAATGGTATGTACCGCACCGTACAGATATGGTGGCCTACGAGTCCGTCCGAACACTACGGCGGTCGATAAAGTTTGTCCGTGTCGCGGTCAAGAACTGCAAGAGGCGAACACACAAAAAAAAGAAAAAAAGGAAATATTTGTGCAACGTCTGTACTTGTCAGTCCGGCCCGCCGGGCCTCGGGGTAACGGAAAAAAAAAAAGCGACGGACGCACCTGGAGAGAGCCGATCGACGCTTGTACAGAGGACAACCTGTCCCGCGACAGCTTAGCCCGAACGTTGGAAATCTGCAGGAAAGAGGTAAAAAACAATCAGACATTGCACATCCGCAACAAACCCAGAGCCGAGAATACTGGAGAGAAGTTTCATGGACTCTGCTTCGGTGGCGGATCCACCGCGCAGCTCCCCACTACAAAAGAGGGGGACAGCGTTAGGGGAAAATGCAGGCTACGAAATTGCACCATGTGTAATCGCAGGTCGCCGGTGGTCTAGGAGGTAACCTCAGAACCTTCCAGAGGTCAGGTCAGGGGTTCGAATCCCGGCGTAAGCGAGCTTTTCTTGCAAAGTGAGTTTTTCTCTCGCTTCCGCTCCTGGCTTAGTGGATAGCGCTAGTTCGTGTGTACACAGAGGGAAGAGAGTGCTGAACTCTTCTCGCATTAAAAATCGAAGGCGAAGTACCGCCTGAAGGGGCGGTAGAGAGGGGCTCTTCTGTGTGACCACGCGTTGGAATAAACGGCACTAGTGCTGTGAGTGCTGATTTGAAGTGAAGACAAAAAAAACAAAAAAACGCATCCGTTGTGAGAGAATCAAACGTAGCCAAGGAAGGAAATCAAGGCGTGGTCGAGACAGCTTGAGCGAGGAACGGGGGGTGAGAAGGGGCCGAATATTGGGGGGTGAGAAGGGGCCGAATATTCGTCCCCAGCTGGCTGATCTTCAAGAACCACACAGTTTGAATATGATGACAGGGAGATATCATCGGGATCAGGGGCATGTGTGCACCGCAAAGGCTTAGGAGATTACCGAAACTGATATATTCCCATCAACCCGCCTGAGAAACAGCATGGGGCTCAGATGTCGACGTGCTCTCCCCGCACCCCTCTCCCGCACACAAAACACGTACCTGTGCATAAAGCAGTTCTTGACGACGACCATCGACCGGTCCGATCAGGCTCAACCCGAACCCGCGCATGTCTACAGCCACCTCCAGCGCCGGCGCCTCGCTCTCGCGCTTAAGCTTGCTTGCGGCTTCCTCCTCGCTATTCAACTGCTGCCGCTGCTGCTGCTGGAACGGGTGTCCTTGGTGCTGCTGTTGGTGGTGGTGGTGCTGCTGCCTCCGTTGCTGCTGCTGCTGCTGCTGCTGCTGCTGCTGCTGCTGCTGCTGCTGCTGCTGGCTCCCGTCACCACCGCCGACCCCTCTCCTCCGGGGAGGGGGGCGGGACGAAATATGGATAACCTTGGAGGCGCCCTTCACGATAACGCTTGCCCAAACGAAGCTCGGGCCCGTAGCGCCACTTCCAGTGCCGCCGCCACCCCCGCCCCCGGCGGCGACTCCTCCGGTCATGGCCAACCCAGTAGGAACCTTGACGTAGTTCCCGACCGTATCGGTGTTGAGCTCGACGGCGCGGGTCCCCCTTCCCGCGTAGATGAGCAGGCAACGCGGCGCGGCGGGGTAGGCCCACCCTATCTGGCGCCTCTCTCCCGACTGGAGCTTCCAGACGTCCTTAGCAGTCACGGCGTTTCGCCCCTCCCGGTCGGCGACGGCCTGGTGGAGGTGCACCGTGACGGGGCTCGCGTTGCGGGCGGAGTAGATGGGGGCGAACCGCTCGTTGGCCTTCCAGAAAACGACCAGCAGGGAGTACTCGTCGACGAATGGATCGTCGGCGAGCTGTACGTCCACGTGCACCACCGTCTGTTCTCCCGCGGGCGCGTCCAGCTGCATCGGCCCTCCGCCGCTGCGTCCGCCGGCCCGCCCGTCGCGATCCTGGTTCTGCCCGACGAGGGGAACGTGCACGGCCGTGGTGCCGACCCGGTTGATGACCACGTCGCCGTAGCTCCATGCGGTGCCCTCCGTTCGAACCCTTACGCCGGCGCGTTGGTTCCTCCCGAGCATCCAGTGCCACGGGAGCCGTCCGCCCGGCGGGATGCAAATGGCGCTCGATTCGGGCGCCCCGGCTTCCTTGAGCCAGATGTTCTCATCCTCGAGCAGGTTCACCATGCAGAAGCGGGGGATCACGGTGACCTGGGTGGTGCGGCGGAACGTGCCTGGGCACACCTCCGCCCGGAGCGCTAGCTCGTAGACCTCTCCCTGGGTGCCCTTGACTTGGAACACTCCGTTTGCGCCGCCGGGAACGTCGAGTTCGTCCGACCACGCGTCCCGCGTCAAGCGGCCGAAACCGTCATCGCCGTAGACACCGCTGACGCCGCCGTCGATGCCGCGTCCCGCACCTTCAGGCACCGCCACCCGCAACCGCTCTTTCGGAGCGTTGCAAAGCGCGAGGCCCTCTGTGCCGAGTGTCCACGACTCCAAGAGTTCCCCCTGGCTGTTGGTCGTGCGCTTGACGCCGCCGGAGGTGGATGTTCCTGCCGCGGCGAAGCCTTCGGCGGGGACGGCTCTGGCAGGGGCGGCCTCTTGCCCCTCGGTGATGATCACGACGTACATGGTGTCCGCCTCGCTAGCCCTGTTCCCGCCGAGGTTGACCCAGGAACCCGCGGGGACGTCGCGGCTCCACACCACAAGGGAGCACTCCGCGATCTTACCCTTCCTTGTCCTTTGAGGCATGTGCACCCGTGTGGCAGTAAGGCGGAACCTGGACGTCAACCAGCTCGGGGGGTAAGAGCAACGGCGATCGAACAGCACGTGCACCGTCGAGGCGTCCGCCACCCTGAACCTGAGGAAGGGCTGACTTCCGTTGTTCTTCTCGGAGCAGGACGTACGGATCATGGTAGCTCCGCGGAACGCGCGAGGCAGCGAGTCCTCCTTGAACACGTACTCGCGGTCGGTGTAGAGGAGGCCACCGACAGTTGCGATGGACACGACACACCCGCTGGTGCTCGCGCAGGACACCTGCTCCACGCGGGACGCCCGAGCGTGACGCGGCTGTTGGACTTGTCCCCTCCCGCTGGCTTCGCTTTTCGCCACGTCTTTTGTGTGGGTCTCGTTGCCGCGGACCACCGGCACCGAAAGCCTCCGCCTATCGGAAACCCCGAACCCGAGCCGCAGACCCGACCGGTCCACGAGCCAGTGGGTGCAGAACACGTGGAGGCGTAACGCCGGGCAGAACGCCCCAACACGCGGTTCGAAGAGGCACCGGATTTCAAGATGACCACGGTCTCCGCCGCAGCCGCTACCCCCGCCATCGTCGCGTGAACACGGAAGCTTGAACGTCACGCCTCGCGTGGCCCAGCGTCCCGCCCGCAGCTCCTCCCGCGTCAGAGGGAGAAGTTGAAGGGCGGAGCTCCACTGGTGGTGCCCGATCTTGATGCCAAACTTGGCGCCGTCACCGACCTCGAGGGTGTGCAGGTAGGCCGTTTCCGCCGTTTCGACCCTACCCGATTCCAGCAACGTCGCGGCTGAAGATTGAGCGGCGGGAGCACGAGCGGCGGTCGCTCCCCGGAAGGACGAGTCTCGACGAACCGCTGCCGTCGAACCCGCTGGCAAAAACGCCCGGAAGCTCAGGGGGCAAGGGAGGGCGTTCACGACGGTGACGGGCGGTAGGACGGTCATGACAACACAGCCCTCCGCAGTGGTCTCCGCGTGCACGGCGAGTTTGATGGCGGCCAGCGTCGAATCCTGCTGTCCTTCACTCCCGACGCCGACGCCGCCACCCAAGAGCTGGCGGCACGACACCCAGTCGTCGCGAGAGGTGTCCACGTTGTTCGCGAGCAAGGCTAGCGGTGCGCTCCACTCGAAGACCTTACCCTCCTGTGAACCTTTTCCCCCGGCACGTCCTCCGACAGCGATGGACGAGACCCCGTCGGTTGACGAGCCTGACGACGAGGTCGGCCGCAGCTGCAGATGGCTGGCGTAGACCATCATGACGGGAACGTCCAGCGTGCACCCGGCGGCGACGAACCCCAGCGAGCGCCTGCCGGGGCCTTCGGAGATGTCTTCCGTCGCCGGCCACGCGGAGCACAGAGCGCGCACCTCCAGGGGCAGGCCAGTGCTGTTCGTAAGCTGGACCGTGGAGCGGATTGTCGCCTCGAGGCGGCCCTGCGGAGTGACGTCGATCTGCCAGGCGAGGTGCAGCGGGCGGAAGGGATCGTTCATCGGCAATGGCTTGGGCGCGCGGGTGCGAATCCACTTGCGCCGCCGCGCCTGGTCCAGGTCCCTGCGAGTGCGGCTGCTGGCGATGAGGTTAAACGATGCCATCTCGACGCGGTACTCCCATCCAGCCTCGTCGATTTCTGTGCCCACTGCCTTGGAGAAGTCCACGTGCCAGTCGTCCCTCCACGCCCACAACCTCTCGTCGGGTAAGGCGATGGACTCCAGGGGCCTCTCCCGGCCGTCCGCGGGGTGGCCGTGTCGCCAGTCCTTTGTCGTGAACTCCGGCCCGTCGTGGCTCATGTACGGTGCCGACCACACCCCAGTCATCATGTTGTACCGCTGGCTCTGGAAAGCTTCCACAACAACGGGGGCTGAAGCGACATAGCCAGAAGGCAGCGGGGTGGTAGGCAAGAGCGGGAACACGTGAACCCCCTTGCGGTCCACCTTCAGGGGCGGCAAAGCCTCCCGCGTTCTCTGTATATCCGGGTCGTCCCACGCCACCAGCGCCGCCTTTCCGCGAAGATCGAGTTGCCCCGCAAGCGCCTCATCGCCGCGCGTCTTAAAGGGGAGGTGCACGACGCCCTGTGCCCCGAGCTCGAGGCGATTCTGGGGAAAATCCGTCGTGCCGACGACAAGCTCGAGCCCGGTCTTGTTCCTGACCGTCACGGTGCCTTCCCTAAGCCCCTTGAGGCTGGGCACGGAATCCTCGATACGATGCAGTGTGCTCGGTTCAGAAAGGTCAATCAAGGGGGCTACCGACTCCAAGGCAGGAGCCGCACCTCCCGTTGGTGATGGGGTGCTGCCGCTCCCTCGCTCGATTTTTCCGTCGACGAGGGCGAATGGGTCGTCTTTCGCACCGCCGTCGCTGAAGAGCATCCAGTAAGTCGACAGGAACGACTCCATGAAGTCGGCCGTCACGTCGAACACCACCACCTTCTCGCACGAGAGATTCACCTGCACCGTCCGCCTCCCCTGGAAGTCTGCCCCAACGGTGGCGGTCAGCACCGGCTGCCACGGCTCGCACAGGGGCTCCCACCTCACCACCTTCACGTTAAAAAATCCCACTTCTGTGGTGCCCGAAACGTTCAAGTTGTACTCCTCCTTGAAACCGTTCCCCTCGGCCTTCAGCTCCCGCGAGGAGAAGCTGAGGACGGGCACCCCTTGCCCTTCGTAGTCGTTCACGAGCACCACCCGGGCGTTCGAGCAGCGGGCCGAGAATGACACCGCGACCATGTTCGACGGCTGCAGGCCGGCCCTCGTCGCGGCCTTCATCGCGGCGACGCGTGCTTTCTCCCCCTTGCCGCCGCCCGGCCGGTCGCTTGCGTCCTCGTAGGTCTCCGGCAGTATGCTGCTCATCAGACCGGCACGCCCATCGCCGCCCCGGTCGTTTCCCGGGCCGCGGGAGGACGCCTCGGCGTTGTTCGCAAACGCGGACGAGACTTTGTCGTAAGCGGTAGTGGCACGTTCTGCGATGGCCTTCACGAGCATCATGTCGGTATAGGAAATCCGGGTGCGGGTGGCCTGGACCACAACGTGAAGCTTCGCCGAGAGCAGCGCTCCTTTGGCCGACAAGAGGACAGCGCAAACCTCCGCGGAGAAGGGCTCCAGCACCTGGCTGATCCTGCGGTCTGCAACCGCACCGTTGCTGCCGCCGCCCATTGGAGGGGTGTCGACCAGGCACTCGGTTTTCAAGAGCGAGAGGTCAAGCCTGTCCTCTGTGCTGTCGCCTCCTTCCCCCGAGGTGACCGAGCGCGTGAAAGCGGCCAGCCAGCTTGCGCGTAGCACGACGACCTTGCTGCTCGCCTTGGAAGGCTCTTCGATAAGGTTGATCCTCCAGTCATCCAGCTCCAGACGAGCTCGAATCGAACCAGGTGACGCCGCCGCCGCCGCCGCCGTGGTCGACTCCCCTGGTTGTCTTCCTGTCCGCGCCCTCCCGGCCGTTCCGCCGTCACGACGGTACCGAGAGGCCTCGTGAAAAGCGGCCGACCCAAGCATGCTTGATTTCTCTTGTTGGCCCCGCGCTAGGTAACCACTGTCCATCGCCGGTGTGCTCTGTATGCCGCACATGGGGAAAGAGAAAGAATGGGTGACCACCGAGAAAAGCTACACCCAAGTGTTGACCAACGACAAAAGCTATACCTAAGCTTTGCCGTTGACCGTTGTTTTTGCTTCTACTCGTTGCAACTGTTGTTGTGGCTCGAAAAAAAATGAGAAATGTGGTACCTCGGCACAAGACACCCTGGAAGTATGTCGCGGTGGAAGAAGAGCAAGTGGTCCTTGGGGGGGGGGGGTGTACTCTGCATTCGTTTTGCGACGCCTGACGCAGCAAGCCGCATCTGTCTCAATGTACGGCGAGAGGCCTCCACGTACCGCTGACCCATATTCTTCCCGCTCTTCCAGAGCCGAGAGAGCCCACGAAGAACCAGGACCAGCTCCAACTCGTCCTTGCGCCCCCCATCCTTCACTGGGAGCGGTGTGCTCATGGCTCCGATCCGCCTCGCCGCTGCCCAGCATCTTGAGTAGAGCTAGGTTAACCTGGTGCAAGACCACCAGACACTCCTTGATTGGGTCTACCATAAAGTTGCACGCGAAGCTTGCTAGCTTGACGCCCGCGTCCAGGGCTCCACCTTCGCCGTCCTTCTTAGCCGTTACGGTGACCAAAGGGGCTTCGTCAACGCCGCCGCCGCCGCCGCCGCCGCCGCCACCACCCCACCCGCCATAGCCGAGCCCGCCCCTACTCGGCCTCCCGCCTGCTGCCCTCTCGGCGAAGCCGCTAGTACTACCAAAACTGCCACCTGCTTCGCCGTGAGTTTTGCCCCTTGCAGTTGATGCTAAGGGTGCCAAGATGACCGTGAAGGGGTTTCCATTCGCTTCTGGCCGGACATCGGTGACAAGAATGTCCGCCAGGGTCACCAGCGCATCCATCCCGCCTCCCTGAATTAGTGTCGTTTCGAAGCAAAACCGAAAACGAGACGGCGAAACGAAACTGTCGTCAACCGGGCAACAGTTGACTCCAAGGGCAATGTGTTGGAACGGAAGGCCGAAAGGGCGGCAAGGGGGGGGCATATTGTGCGTCGCCAACGCGCCCGTCCCGCCTCCACATTTTGCATGCCCATCTCGGCACACACAACATCTACCCATGTCGGAACATTGTAGGAATGTTTCTCCCCCGATGAAACACAAGGATTTGAACGTTTCTGCGGTGATCGCCGTTGAACAACGTGCAAAATTGAGTAAAAGACGACACATCGCACCATGCTCCACATTAGAACGTCAACGAAAGAAAAAGAAGCAAAAACAATTTGGTGTCGCCCCCACTCACCCCCCCCTCGTTGGAACTGTAGGTCGTGTTTAGGCCCGAGATACCCGCCCGCATCACCGTCTCCCAGGGGTCCGATCGCACGAGCTCGAACAGGACCGAAGTTAGCGAGGCCTTGGCGAGGATCGCCTTCGGTCCTTCGTTTTTCGAGGTGATGCGCTTGGCCATGTTGAAAATGTGCGAGCCTGCCGACCGCACGGAGCGGGTGTCGTCCATCCAGCTCTTTGCCCTGTTGAACCCACCACCAACACCACCACCCGCCGCCAGACTACTGCTGTGTTGGGATTCGTCCTGCCTCATTACCGCCCGGTAGAACGGGGTGGCCTTGATGACGGATTCCTTGTCAAGTGCCATCTGAAAAAACCGCACACGGTCGACACGTTTCCAAGCAGCAGCGGCAAATGTTTCATGAGATACACGGGGACAGTTGTAGTTTGCCTGTGGCGTCATTGAAAGCTTAAAACGTGCAATTACCCAGAGAAGCGAAATGCACCATGTCGGAGAGGGGTCCGCGAAAAAGTACAGCGCCAGAAGGGGAATAGGTGGATTGACTGCCCGTGTACCCCGTTACATTTATTAATCCCGGGGTGTGCAGCGCGTGGCTTCAAACTCGGGAATGAACGAAACCTGCTACTCTCCGCAATGCACATGTGTGATGTGCGCACGCTGCGCGATTCTGGTCAGAGACTGCGGGGAAGAGGGCAAGAAGGAGGCGCGTCGCAAGTGTTGAAGTTTCCTGTCTACGAAGCGCGGGGAGTAGACCAAGGATGATCCCACCTGAAGCGTGCTGAACCGAGCATCCAGCACCATGTGGTACTCCTTCTGGTTCGTGTCCGCGATCGACGCCGGCGGCACGAGGGCAACCCCTCCTGTGGAGGCCCAGTAGGTGACGTGTATCAGGCCGCCGTGGGACGTCTCGTCCGGCTTGGAGTAGATCATGTTCCTGAACGGAGAGTCGTGCGGCCTGGCCCTGTCCTGGACCGTCACGGCGTCCAAGTGGAGTTGTACGGTCATGTCCCGCAGCGTGGTCTTGACGTCCATCGACATGCCTTCGAAGCACAAAAGCGCGGGGTAGATGGGAGAGAGAACATTGACTCGCGGCGGGGGTTGTTGGCTCAGCATGGTTGGGTAAGATTCAGCAGTTTGGTATCGTCGCGGATAGTTTGGCGATCGCGTGAAAATAAAAACGTGATCACTTGGCACTTCGGACGCGCAAGTGTCCAACAAGCTACTTCAGTTCCACAAAAACGCCGGACAAACGCGCACCCGCCGCCTCCATGAACAGTCCGTTATCTCTTTGCGTGGCGTCCTTGTCGTCCTGTACCAGCAGCAAGCCGATCGTGGGCAATTTCATGCGAAGCTCCACGGAAACCAGGGGTTCCTCTTGAACGTCCTCCTCTCCCGCCGAGCTGTCCACCTCAATCGCCACCAACCCGTCACCCTCCCCCATCCGCTCGACCCCTAACCCCCCTCCCCCGGTGGAGGTGTTGGGTGCGGCAAGACCCACGGGCGGCCCCCCTCGCCCTAGGTCGGCCTTGGTGACGTAGTCCAGCACGCGAAGCAGGCCGCGAATCTTCTCCGGTGACATGACGCCTCTCACCCCGGGCATCACCTCCACCGCAAACGCCATCCCAGGTTTGGAAACACCTCCGCCGACAGTCACGTCTGCCTTGATCTTGAAGGGTTCGATAACCGCGTCCATCTCGCTCCGCACCAGCAGCAACGACCTCTCCGCGGGGAACCTCACGTTCATGTCACTGAGCTCGGCGCTGTAGGCCATGGCCCCGCCCTCGACGCTCCCGCCTTCGACCAGCATGTGGCCCATGTCCAACAGCACGAACCCAGCGTCGAGGGAGGACGACACGGGCACGACGACCCTGGGAGCCGCGACGTCCAGGGACATGGACACGGACAGCCGAGGTAGCTCCTTCTTCGTTTTTTCTTGCGCTGCCTCTAGCCCCTTCGTGGCGTTGGACATGGCCGCCTTGGTCTCCGCAGGCCGGGCGCTGAAGACGCTGACGACCGCATCCACTACCTCCCTACGAAATAAATAAATATATTTCGTGCGTGTTGTGCAAAAAGAAAACGGAGAGCGATGAGACAGGAGGTATTACTAGCTTCGAAAGCACGTTTGATTGTTTTCGGTTGACGGATACATGCACGCGATGGCGATGGGGACCCCATATTTGACAAAGCCTTCCCTATTTCAGCCTCAGGGGGGTGCTAACAGAAACAAGAAACGGGCCATGGCGTGGCGTGGCAGGCAGGACACGCAACGCAGCGCCAGGATTGTTCAAGGCAGGACCAACGCCAGTGCCCGATAACCCGTGCGAAGTTTGAAGCGGAAGCTACATTGGCTACCCTCGACGAAGAACCGAGCTTCAACAGTCAGAATGAACGTGGTTAAAGGACGATTTGGCGAAGATAGACCTTCATGTCTCCTCCTCCTCCTCCAGCTCCCTGTATCCTTGGCTCGCCCCAAAAGTCCAAGTACTTGCATATCCCGCATTATTGACTCTCAATCTGAGGTCTCGGGGCTCCTAGTTATTATGAGGTCTAGGTCAGCCGACAGGAACAGTAAACGCTGGTTGCATTCAATGGAGACGGGGTGGGGCAACACAAAGGCATACAGTCATGCACACCTGTTGTACGCCACGTCCGTGGGCAGCGCGCAGATATCAACCTTCAGCGCGGTCTCGGTGAGGGAGGCGTTCAAGCAGGCCAGGGGGCGTTCTTCTGCCATCCCCCGGCTCGACGGGCGGATGTTGCCCCTCTTGATCCCCCCGACCGCTCCAGCAGCAACAGTGGCGGCGACCTGAAGACAGCACGTTTTGGACTAAACGGTTCATATGTTGACGGCGATTGACCGTGCAGCTCGTGTACATCGAGGGTTTGAGAAACACGGCTCACGCGCGTACGCGTACGGTGGTGGATCATAGAACACTGACAGATATCTCTAGATGCAGCAGCTGCAATGAAGCACACGGCAGACTTTCGTGTATTCTGCCCCCTCACAAACGTTGAATTGGATGGTCGGAAGAGTGATGACATGATTCATCTTATCTGTGTTTGTCAAGACTTAGGCTTGAGCTCGGGAGTGTTGCCGACCTCTCTCCTCGTAAGCCAACATCGGGCATCGCTTAATCACGCCGCGTTGTTGATGGTCGCAGTACCATGTGGGCGGTGGTCAAACTGGTGTAAATATCCGGGAATCCCAACGCTCTATATGTAGATGATAAACGGGTCATGCGCATACCACATGCTGTGTGCTGCCAACGCTTGTAAGAAAATATTCACAATATCAAACCTTTGCTCTGGCCTCCTTGAGCTCGGGGGTGTCGTTTTCGGCCTCCTCCTCGTGGCCGCCGACCTTGAGCAAATGGGGGAACACCGCCCGCTGCGTGAAGAGATCAAGAACCTCCAGTCGAGCAAGGCGGAAGCTGCATGCCTGCGCGCAATGAACGTCAAGCGCCGCGAACGCTCGGGGTCAAAAAAGGCAAGCGGCTTCAATGTCCTGTGCGTGGATGGTTCGGTGTACCATCACTGTCAAGCTTCAACCCCCAAGCTCAGGATGGGACTATCGCTGTCCAAAGGGTATTCTGTCGTTCGTTTGCCTCGAGCTTGAATGTCTTCCCCGCTCACTCACCATCGAGGTGTTCTCTCGGCGCTCCACCGTGGCCGAGGCGACGATCGAGGCCTCCACCAAAGGCAGGTCGCGCCGCCCGTACAGCCTCATCGACCCGTGTGGCTGCACCGTCACCCGCGCCTGGAGATAGTCGGGGGGCACCTGCAAGAGATCCACAAAACAAAATCGGGCCAGGCGGCGAAACAACAGCAACAAGGTCCGTGGTGCGGTTTGATATGGCAAATAGATGCGTCCAGCGATTAAGGTGCCAGAATTTCCGCGGAGGATCCATTTTTTCGTTGGACGGGGTCAACCCGTAAGGAGACTGTGTTCCCGAGAAAGAATTGTTCCCACGGCGATCAGGAGGGTTGGTTACAGCAAGTGAAGGCTATTGAAGCAACCAACTACACAACTACCCAGTTCAACCACAAACGGGGTAGGATCTACGCACGCTTCCTTTTCCAAAAAACAAAATGTAAAGCTCTTGCGCGCTTTAAACTTGGGTACTCGATCATGTGCAAAGATTCTGCCCTGCTGGGTGAGGATCCAGCGAGGTTAACTAACACCGCAGTAATCTCAGGCCAGTTATGTGATGGTCGACCTGTGCCTCTACAAGCCTTGCATGAAAATACGAAGTATATAACTTTGGTGTTGGGGGAAACATAAAAAAAGTATTTACACGGAAAGAACGGCCGGCCGAAAAGTGACGCCAACACTCTGTGAGCTTTGTGCTACGCAGACTGGAACGGTCTGTACCGTGTCACAACGACAGACGCGCGGTCAGCGTCAAATCTACTACAGCAAGCAGCGAAAGACAGGAGTTCGACACCGCAGCCAAACTCCCCACCTTGTTAGCCTCCGCGTCGTGCCCGAAGCTTGCTGTGAGGTCCTGGAGGGCCAGGTCTCCGTCTTCCTTCTTGGTGTTGGCTCTTCCCCAGATGCTGCCCCACCATCCCCCGCCCCCGCTGTTTCTTGCCGCCAGCGCCGCTACCTCCTGCGGACTCATCTTCGCCCTTTCCGCGTCCCGTTTGCGCTTGATCTACGGGTATTTCGAGTGCACGTGGTGCCCAGCGTGGTGTGGGTGTTCATGCGATGGAATGGGGTGGCGTGGGGACAAGGAGCACGTTGGGGCAGCGACGTGTGTCAACAGAGGCGAAAGAAGTTGGGGGCAGCCGGTGGGTTGTTTCGAGACTCGACGCCGTCGTTTTCAGCGCTGGCACTAAAAGGTTAAACCACACACAGCCACGGCTGCAAGGGCGACGACAACAACAACAGCAACAGCAGCACCGCCACCAATCAACACAACAAAGCAACACACGGTATTGTCCATAACGCAAAAAACACGACAACTATACCAACAGATACAACACGCAGCCAACAACAACGGCAAACGACAACCGACGATCCATCACAACAACGACAACAACAACCCACCTCTTTCCGTGCCATCGTCCGGAACATGAGGATGGTCTGCAGGGGGAGTTCCTCCTCGAGCTCGTACAGCCTGCGCTGCTCCCTCGGTGTGAGCGGGGGCGAGAGGCCCTGCGACGAGCCGACCTTCGTGCGCGCGTATGCGTCTTCGGCACCGGCACCAGCCGCAGCCAGTTTCTCGAACAGAAACACGTACTCCTTCCTCGACATGAGCACCTGGTTCCAAGGTTTCGTTGTCGTTTATGTTGCGCGTATGTGACATTGCCGCCCAAGGGGATCAAGGGCCGAGAGTGATGCATTGTGTCGTTCTCGCGGGGGAAAAAGAAATGGGGGTGATGGGGCGAACGTTCAGATCATGACGAGGCCCGACTGCGAAACCGCCACACGCACTCGTCGGGTGGTTCGTCCCCAACGTGACCCCGGATTGACACTGCAGCGGGTGAGTTGTGATGGGTGTGGACGACTGAGATATTGAGAGCAGCAGGAGACGCTGAGGTGATCGAGTGTGCGACGAAGGTGGGGGAAACGTACGTGATAAAAAACAACAACTCGCAAAGCAACGTTCGGCTTACCTTGTTCAGGTTTCCCCAGTCTTGAGGCTTTCCCCTTACGCACAGGAAGGCATACCTGGAAGAAGGGCAGAGTCGGGTCGGGGATGGCGGGGGGGGGGGTACCGCTTGCCATGCATGTCATGGGGCACACCAGAAGTAATGACGTAACAAGGGGCGCGGAGGCGGGGAGAGGGGTACCCCCTTGTCGCTGGTTGAGACGTAGCACCGCACGGATTCAGTTCACAGTCCTCCCCCCGTTTGGAATTCGTCTTGTTCAAACCGCAAGCGTACACCATCAACTACCACTGAGGAATTTAGTCGCCTACCCTCATTACGGATGGCGCTCGGTCTTTGCTTGGGATGCGAATAATAGTACCACTACGCACGTCACTTTGCGAATACATACCGAAAGCTGTTGTGCCACCGCGCTGTTCTACTTTCAATATCAATACTTCTGCAGTGGATCGGCCAGGGCTGGGCACTGTACTTCTCCCCCCCCTCCAGTTGTGACGAGCTGCTGCTGTGGCCGTACAATACAAGTACACCGCAACGCTATCGTCCCGGTGTATTCTGCCATACATACCTCCACCAAGCCCTGGGGTCTCGTTTTGGGGTAGCCTTGGGGCGGTAGGGGAAGAACGTCTGCCAGTTGGCGAGGGCCGCTATGGAGTCCTTGAGGGAGAGCGCCTGTTCGTACTGCTCCGCGCGGAAGTCCATCTTGACGTCGTCCATCTGGCGCAGCACGAAATGAACGAGGGGGGGGCATCACCATCACGGCTTACATCGTCCAACAAAACGGTACCACACGGCATCATCAGTATTATCGAGCCCAATCCTCCACAGCATCAGTACCGTGCCCCTAATACCAACGATATACTGCTCACAGAAGGCAACGAAAACAATCTAAAACACGTTTAAGCGCCAGAGGTCGGCCCGTTATCCTTCACTTGCTGCACCATGCTCTGCTCTGGAACGTGGCCTCGCCACTGTCCACCCCACGTACCCCAAAAAGAACAAAAAATAAGCGTCAACCATCCATCCCTCAGAGACTAGAACAGCTTGAACGGATACACGCGCCCAGCAGAATTATCACGCGCCAACAGACACGAACCCAATCCCAACCACACACTACGAAACGATCATGGGCAAACGCATAAAATAATAACACAAACCACACACCCACGAACACACGAAAGCCACAACAAGGTACACAAAGTAAATAACAATTTCACACACACCGCAGAGCGCACGACGCCTACAACCCCCACCTCGAACGAAGCCTCCAATTTGGGCCCCGTCTTGTCATCGGGGTGATCGCAGTGAATGACCTTCAGAACCGCACCGATCGGCCGAATCAGGTCTCCCCTCTCCAGCCCCCCCCCGTTGTCCCCCGGCGGGGACACCGCCTGCTCCGCCACAAACCTGCGAAGTGCCTCGCTCCTGAACTGCGCGGGGATCAACTCGTACCTGCTTGGTTCATTCGAGCGCGCGCGCGAAAAACACAGCAATTCAACCCCACCGGCATCGAAGGTGTGTCGCTCACACCAAGGCTATGAGAGTCAGAAACACGGACAGGGAATCCGCGTAAATACATGTTGTTAAAAAACCAACACGACGGGACACAATCTGCAGACAAACTGCGGATGGTTTTCAAGGGAGATCAAGAGTCAACGGATTGGCGAATTCGTCCGGGGTCAGCAATGAAATGCCCAGAGGCGGAGAGCTCTCCGTCTGAGATTACCGTTGAGGTGTTGCCGCAGCTCACAACTACCCAGTGCTGAAGCTTACCAAGCAGTTCGTGTGACAGTTGTTCATCCACTGGTCTATGTGCGGGTTCAGTAGATACCCAGGCGAGGGCTTGGACCCCCTTGTCCCCCCCCCCCAACCCCTCTATCTCCCTCTCTCCCTTATACATACACAATCTCTCCTCACTCTAATCCCACCCCAACACCCCAATCCTAACTCTAGCGAGAGAGAGGAGATAGCTACGCGTGAAACCCACGCCAAACCCATGGGAATCTCGCCAAAGGCGTGTTGTCCAAATTTGGGGATTGGACCGAGCACGTTGGCACACGACCGTGCGAATGACTTCGAGCAAACGCACCCCACAACAGCAGCAAAAGCATCACCACACCAACGGCAACACACACCGCGGACGATCGAAACTAACCGGAAGTAACGCCAGAGAGTCAAGAACGTCGCTCGTGTGAGGGTGCAGGCATAAAACGTCACTACTGCCGTTGCCTGTTTCAGACGTGGCGTACCGCAAGGGCTGTGCCAATGGCAGCGCGGCTGGGGTTGGTTTCCTCACTGTCATCTAGGGCGTTGCACTGTGAGACGATGTGCTGTACTGCAAAGGTGCAACTTTTCACTATATCATCAACACCAACACTGTCTTCGCATCGCCAAAAAAAAACACTACAAGAAGAACATAGATACAACGACCACGCCTCACCTCTCCTTGTCGTCGACTCTCCAGTACACGGAAAACCCCGTTACGCGGGCCAACTTGTGCATCTGCCAACCCACACGAGCGCGGAAGAGCGCATCATACCAGTCATGACTGTACTCGAGGAGTGCAAGAGCGAAACAAGAAGTGCCTGGAGGGAACCTGGCACTCAACACGCGATCAACAGCTCGCCCAGCAGCTCGACACCGGGCTGGAGAGATGTCACCCACTGTTCACACGCGCACGCGACTCTCGAACCGCCCGCTACACTGTCAGCCATCCAGCGCGTGTACCTCGAAAAATTCGAGCCTTTCGGGCCTTTGGTGGCAAATGTGTACCAACAAGTTAGTAGTTTGGTGTTCTCATGCTAACTTCGTCCCGACAACGGACTTACCGCTGCCCCAGGTGACACAACCGTCAGGTTCCCTGTAATCGTTATTATTTTTTTTGTCTTCACTTCAAATCAGTGCTCACAGCGTTTGTGCCGTTCACTCCAACCTGTGGTCACACAGAAGGGTTCCTCTCCCTGAGCCCCCCTCCTCACCCCTGCTGCGGTGCTTTGCCTTCGATTGATAATCCGAGAAGGGAGGAAGACTGGAGCACTCTCTTCCCTCTCTGCACACACGAGCTAGCGCTTTCCACCCAGGCCAGGAACGGAAGTGATAGAAAAACTCACTGTGCAAGAAAAGCTCGGATACACCGAGATTCAAATCCCTGACCCTGGCCACTAGAACGTTCGAGGATACCAACTAGGCTACCGGGGCGACCGGCACATATATGCGCGAGATACACCCAAAAAACGTGTTGGCGTGTTCTGTCTAGCTTACACGGGTGCCGTCTTTATATTGGCTACCCAGGTCAGCGCGATGAATGACATTACGGCAACACACACACATGAGCGTTATTCTAAGAGTGAACATCGACCCTTGAGAACTATTGTAGCGCGTCAGTCTCTGATCGAATGGGAGGAAAACAAAAAGCACTCAGCAGCCGTTGATGTTTCTTCTCTCCTCTGCCGTCTTTGCTCAGTCCATCAGACTTTTCCAGCTGAGAACAAAGCTTACCCTTGTATCCCAGGCCTGGCCACCGGTGCGGTCGAGGAACTGCGGCACGAAGTCCTTGTCGGTGGTAGTCACCACGAACGACTCCAGGCATACCCCGGTTGACATCGTTTGTCCCGGCACAAGCACCGTGTCCTCGTACCTGATGCCGGACCAGGGCAACATGCGCAAAAAACACCGGTGCTGCCACTGGTTACTGTCGGGTGAATCGGGAGCGAAGCCGTAGTCTAGGCGTACAATTACGTCGAAACGACGATCTTAGAAGAGCTGGTACGGTGTGTTTAAGGTTAGCGTTGGTGCTGGAGGTACAAGATGTTTGGTCGTACCTGATGTGGATGTTGGCCACGTTGATCTCGATGTTGTCCACGATGCGCTGCACCAGCTTCTCCACGAACCCTTTCTGCATGGACAGACCAATCAACATCGCCCGTTCGATTTTGGGGGGTTTAGTATGAACTGGTCGGTACTTTAGTATGAGGCTAGCGCCACATCGATCAATCACTGCTCTGCGTGGATTCTTCATTACACCAACCCTTGTTGACCAGAACGGAGAATCTGGATTTGTCCACGACCGCTCTCGAGATGTGGTACAAAATCTTCCAGCATGGATTGTGTTTGAAATGCACAGCCACGTGCTCGTCACGAAGCGCTAACTTCTGGAAATCTAAAACTCCAGCCAATTCCCAACACCAACACCACCAACTTCAACGACAGCACAAACATTTCCATGTACCCGCCGAGTACCCACCGTGTCGTCATCGCCCCCATTCCCCCCTTCCTTTTCCTTCTTTGTCGCCGCCCTCCGCCTTCTCGAGGGCGGCCCTCTTGATGCCGAGAGCGCCTCTCCCGCACCTCTTGGTCTCCCCACGAATTCCTATTCCACCGGACCCACCAACACGGCTAACGCTCTTGCAGGAGAACCTTGACGGGCCTGCTTCCCAGCTTCGACCAAGGGATTTCCACCTTCGGGGGGGGGGGGGGGGGGGGGGGTAAGGCACATTGTCACGTATGCATGGTCATCGACTGCTTATCCCAAGACCTTCCGGCCCGCACAAACCACCCCAACCTAGCACCTCGGCTTTCTACCGACCAGACAGGCATTTCTCACCAAGGCAGATCCGCAACGAGGTAGTCAGCAAGATGCAAAATGGGCGGGCGACTTTCCCACCAACCAACATTACGTGCGCTGTCCCTTGTCAACTGCCGTTCCCGCATACAGTGGGTGGGCGTCAACAACGCCGGTTGATTAGCGACGGTGGCCCTGAATAGCGCCGGTGAAATTGCTGGGCACAGACTGAATCACCAAGTCATTCTGTACTTTTGAATAGCGCCGGCCGATGCACCGGGCACATACCGACGTTATTGAGGGCCCCCCAATGTACCACTATTCATAGCCAGTCCATGTATCTCCTTCTCTATCTGACACAGCCTGAGATGCGCAGAACGTGTCTTACGCTCTCCGCCCCCCCCCCCCTCCATTTTTCTTCTGCGGTACACCCACCGGCTAACACGTATTGCGAGAAGGAGCCCGCAAGACTCACCTACCTCATTGGCATTTCGGTCGAACTGTGTGTGCACTCCCACGCATCACTAGTAGTGGTGACGTCCAGACGGTACTTGAACCCGTGTCTTGTGACCATCTACTGTACGTGTTATCTCCAAGAGGCCAACAAGAAAGAGCCAAACCCCCATCCATACGCTTCCTTCAGACGGGCGAGGAGGCAACAACAAGCGGTTCTCACTTCGGCCACCACCTACTTTGAGTTCTCTGTGACACCAGCTGCGCTCCTGAGCGCAAAATTGGAGAGAAAAAGAGAGAGAGGCACTACAATGTAGAGAAGATTTGAGCCCAGTGCATGTGCTCTACCTCCAGTTTCTTGACCGTGCCGTGGATGATGTTGACCGGCAGCCGCAACTGGTTGACAGCCTCCGGGTTGACCTGGCATAAAGATTATAAGTCGATGGTGATCATTGCAACGTTGTTCTAGTCGGCGAGACAAGAGCAAAGGACATGGCAAAAAATTATGTACCACAGGCGAAGAGCGGCCAGGGGGTCAGCGAAATTTCGATCAGCAGGTCGAATTTGGTCTCGAAATCGCAAACAGGGCCATGCAATAGGAAGATAAACAACGCTTGAGGGCCTCGGCCTGACTGCAGCTACACGGCCGGTGTGGTATTGTGGGTGCAGGCAAGTGTGCTATGCGGGCAAACACGCGTATTTTACTCATCGCAGGATTCCGCTGTGACCTCGATACAGTGCGCGACGTAAGATACCACACCCCCCGGAAATTTCTTTCAAGCTCAATTACTCCACGAAGAGGATAGTCTACATAAATAGCATACTGCTGATGTGGAGAAATCGAGCTTTGAAACCGATGCAGAGGGTGTGATATCTTGCGTCACGTACTATGTAGACTAAAATACCACCTAAAATACGTTGTGTGGGTCACATACTGCTGTAGTTCCCGCCGCCACCACGTGACCAAACCTCCCCACTGCACTCTGGCTTGTTGAATATCAAAGTTTGGCGCCATCTATAGAGTTTCTTCGGTGATGTGGACGGAAGAGGAGCATATGCGAAGTGCACGAGGATGGTTAACGTTTTGAAGAACGCCGGTTGAGTCCTCATGTGCCGCACCAAGCGGCAGAAGGTACAAGTTGCAACGGGGTTCAAGACAGAGGCATAGGAAGAACCAAACTCCTGGACGTAAGCGGTCCTCGGGGGGGCGGTTCGTTTCACCTCGTAGGCAGAACGCTGCAATGGCTAACACCGACTACCTCAGTACAGCAGTACAGCAGTACAGCAGTACGGCAGTGCAGCTGAACAGTTGTGGCAAGGTATTGAGCGAGAGCTGCAATATGCGAAGACGGGCTATATACTAAACCTGGTTGAAGCAATGCGCTACGCAGCAGATTCTCCACCCTGATCGCGAACGCTCACACCTGCAGTTCATCCAGCACGATCTTGCCGGACCACACCCCGACCTTGAGGCGCTCGGGAGAGAGTCCAACGACATAGTCCGACAGCGCGTCGTGCAGCGCGTTGAGCAGGAGCGCCTTCGCCATGTCTCGCCGCTTGAGTAAAAAGAGTGCTCACTTGGGCGACAGCACACAGCACACTACGATCTCCTCTGGTTCGGCGGAGTTCCCTCTCTCTCTCTCCCCCCCCCCCCCCTCCCCAACTCTCTGTCTCTCTGTGAGAGAATGGCGAGTCACTACGAAAAGAAGGAGGCCAAGCAAAACACTGCTGTGCTGTTCTACTGCTGCGTGGGAAACAGAGGCAGCAGAGTTCTGACATGAGGAAATTGGAGGAAACTTCCGAGAAAAAGAATGTGTGCCACACGCACATCTCGGTATAGTGCGAGATTGAGAACGAGAGGGAAGGGTGTCGCAATCGGGAAGAGGACTACATTAATGACAGGATGAAAGTGACAGGAACAGAGGCAACGAGGGAGAGAGGGGAGGAGCCTTCACGTGCGACCACCGGGTCGATCTACGTGCTATCGAATAAACATGCGCAATAAAAAAGAACATTCGCCGTCCCAAAAAAAAACTACAGCAGCATGCTGTGTGGTCTCACGACTCGCGACTCCACGCGGCCCAGAAAAGTCCGGGAGGGTTCGCTATGCTTCAGGCGGCTACTACCGCTGGCACCTGGTGGCACAGCGGGCGAAGCTGCTCAAAAAGTGGGCGGCTACGCACAAAGCAATTTCGTCTGGATTAACAGACTAGCAGACTAGACTATCTATGGTCAAGATACAGGACGACCGCAGGAGCTCGGTGCTCTTCTTCTTCTGATGCTCTCTGTCCAGGGTTTTGTTCATGTCATAATGACCAATGTACAGGGTTCGACTGCATCGACCTTATCAAGGTGGCCACATTGTTACGGCCCCACAGGGTCGAGTGATGACAAACATGTGCAAGGTCGAGGGTAAGAACCTTGGCCAGGGTTCTACCCATAATCATGTGCAGGGTAGGACCCGTGATCATGAACAGGGTTCGACTGCATCGACCTTAATAAGGTGGCCACATTGATTGTTACAGCGCAACAGGGTCGAGTCATCATGCCCAACATGTGCAAGGTCGAGGGTAAGAACCTTGGCCAGGGTTCTACCCATAATCATGTGCAGGGTAGGACCCGTGATCATGGACAGGGTTCGACTGCATCGACCTTAATAAGGTGGCCACATTGTTACAGCGCCACAGGGTCGAGTCATGCCCAACATGTGCACGGTCGAGGGTAAGAACCTTGGCCAGGGTTCTACCCATAATCATGTGCAAAGTAGGACCCGTGATCATGGACAGGGTTCGACGGCATCGACCTTAATAAGGTAGCCACATTGTTACGGCCCCACAGGGTCGAGTGATCACAACCATGTGCAAGGTCGAGGGTAAGAACCTTGGCCAGGGTTCTACCCTTAATCATGTACAGGGTAGGGACCTATGATCATGTACAGGGTACCAGTGCATGGACCTTATTAAACTGGCCACATGCTTACGGGCCACAGGGTGTTCTGGGACGGGACCCTGTGCGAGGGCACAATGGCCACGGGTGTGTGCCTCCGCAGCCTGATTTGGTGTTCGCGTTCAAGCGTTTCAAACGGCTGCGAGAAATGCCACGCAAACTGGAGCAACCTGCTGGGTGCTCAACGAGCGAGCAGTAACTACTTGTTGACGAGCTTATGGCGGGTCATGAAGGCACAGAATTGGAGCGCAGGTACTAGCCATTTTTTTTTATGATTGTTGGTGGTTTTGTGGCTGTTAGATGTTAGATGAAGCGCATGCTCGCGCTCGAAGCGTTGAAACTACATGTCTGGAATTTTGGCGCGAGAAATTCTTGATTGAGAAGGTTAAGGTTGCACCAGGGCGGAGGCTGCTTCCCGTTGTCTCGACAACCTAGAGAAAACGCCCTCGCAAGCAAGCACTCGACGACGAATCTTTGCCGTACAGCTTGCCACTTGAGGGGTCCCAGAACTTTCGGAACAATCCGCGGAACGGTCCACGGAACGGCCAAAGCACAAGGAAAAGTGTTCTTGTCGCACAGTATATGCCGCCATACAATGCCAACGCTTTCTGGACTATTCGCAAACTGCTTGTGGTTTACTGCTCCGCCACGCTTACGAAACTTGAGCCGCCACTGAGCGCTCCATGATGAAATCTTACCATGAATCGGATTCATTTGGCGCCATGTGCATCTGGATGCATGGTCAACATGTGGTTTCAATTCAAAGCATTTTTACCTCGTGACTACGAGACACATCGCCCACGCATTTCAAGAAAAGGCCGATGGAAATACAATGGAGAGCCAGTGACCAATCGCTGTACCAGCATCAGCCAAAGCGCGACCACCACCAATCAATACCGAATAACCATAAAACAATGGTACATCTACGTCCTGTAGCACAGGAGCTTGCCTCTGTTTTTCGTCGAGTTTTTGAAGTGAGCACTGTCACAGGCAGCGCCCTTCGATCTGGTGCTCACTCTGCCCGTCACAACACGAAACGAAGCATTTTCTTGGGTGCCAGGCTTCCTCGAGGTGCAGTGTACCCTCGCGACTAGTTAGTCTCTTCACGAACATGTTTTTGAACACGCTCCAGCGTGATCTGAGTGTCGACTGTGGAATGGTGACACCCCCCCAGCCTCTTCCTTCGGATGGAGGATGCCCTCTCTAGTAGTGGAATCGCCTCGTTGTGCTTGCCCTGAGGACATTTGAGATCCGAGGTTGCGAATTCAATCCAATGCGCAACACCATATGTAATACGGAGTATGCAAAACGAGACTTGACGCAAAAGATTAAAATACCGATTCGTTCACGCGGCAGACAAAAGCAGCAATGCGATGGAACAGCGGAGTAGTTGAGCGAGACTGCGCAACAAAGCTGATCGACACATAAGAATCGACTTGGTAAGGGTCATCACGAACAGATTATGAAAAAGGTGGTGACATTTATGGGAAATTCCCAAGATTAATTTCTGGAAAAATCTCACAGCTCGTACCTGACTCTCTAACCCTAACGCCCGGTTGTTGAGCACCCTAAAAATCTATCGGCTGCCACAAGAACCTTTCTGGAAAATTCTAAAGGCCCTCACCTTGCTCTTCAACAAAGAGAATTCTACTGGAAAGGTCTCGCGGCTCTCACCTGCACTCTCAACAACTGTGCCCGGGCGGGGTTGTTGATGAGCCAGGTGAGAGCCAAAGGACGCTTCTAGAAGGTTCTAGAAAAGAATGTTCATCCGCAGTTCTAGATCCCACTTGCACCAAAACGCGACCCTGTCACGCTGTCGACTGTACTTCAGGGGAAGTATGAGGAAGCCGAGCCGCTATATGAGCGGTCACTAGCCATACGAGAGAAGGTCCTGGGTCCGGAACATCCTGCCGTCGCACCTGTGCTCAACAACCGGGCGCCCGGTTGTTGAGCAACTGCAACTTCTACTGGGCAACGCAAGAATATTCCTAGAACATTCTCACGGCTCTCACCTGCGCCTCCAACATCCGCGCCCTGTTGTTAAGCGATGTGGCAAGAGCTGGGTGGTCAGGGCCTAGCGTCTTCTCCCCAATCTCAATAGCTCGCAGATAGAGCGGGTCGCCTTCGTCGTACTTGCCCTGTGTAGGAAGCAGTGGGGTGGTGTAAGCGGCTGGCGAGAGAGAACCAAACTCTCAAAACAAGTCTGAACCCTACGAAAAATCTCGGAAAATTCTCACGCCTTTCACCTGGCTCTCCAACAACCCGCGTACGCGTCCATGCACGATTTCTCCAGAAGACGAAACAGATCTGCGGAGATGCGAACGTCTAGAAATAGGAATCGTCGGGGTTCATCCACGTTTCTGCATTAGTGCGGGAATATTTATGGACTACAGGCCCCATTCCACTCGAGCTGGGACATCTCGGAAGACTGCACATCCTCACACCTTTGCAGCCAACCAGATGCATGTCGCAGAGACGAGGAGGTGTTCTAGAAACCGGGTCATTCTAAAGTTTTCCCCCCGTAGATGCCGCCAACGTCTAGAACATTTCTTTTCAACAAAGGCACCACCACACCACACAGCACTTCCGACCGATCACCAGCCACGGGTGCAACAAAGGACAGCGGATGAATCTCGGCGAGGAAACCAACTACCAAGCCTACTGGGCCCGTGCGGGACGGATTCATCGTCGTGAATGCTCCAGAGTACGACATACGCCGCATCAGAGCTCTGAACAAGAAGCGATACCGAAGATCCCCGGCTTACCAGAGGTACTTAGAAGCCAGGAAAGTTGATTTGATGTACAGATGGAGGATTTTCAATGAGCAAGCTAGGAAACGAAACACTGCGGTATCGATTAGTTTTGACGAGCACAGCAGGATCGTGCGCACAGTTTGCTCTTACTGCGGCCAATTTACCTACGTGCAGAACGCGGGGTCGTACCAGATCGATAACGTTGTGGCCTGTTGCAAAACTTGCAATTTTATGAAAGGGCCATCATCGGTAAAGGAGTTCTTGGGAAAGGTCGAGCAAATTGCAAAACTGCAGCAGGCTCTTTGTAGATCAAGTGAACACGGTGAAAATACCTTTGAGGTCGTTGGAGGACAGCATCAACTTCACCACGCGGCCCGCGTCGTTGACATCGACTCCGTACCATTGCCCTAGCGGTGCATCAGCATTCCAGTTTGACCTGTTCTTCCAGTTAGCCCCGTTGGTCGCGTTGTATAGAGCAACCAATGCGGCACGGTCCGTCGACGCCATCTCAGGAGTGGACCTGGGGTGGGTGCGGAAGTTTGCGGGACATTCGCAAAAATGACGTTCAGTGAAAGAAAAAGACGACGCAAGCCTCCCCTCACCTCACATCACACCATCAGAGGACCGGAAGCCTGTCACGGTCGGTTGCATCGCATCTTGCACACCGCTAATCCCTCACGGCTGTTTACAGGGATAAACGTCGCAGTTCGCAGATATCAGATATACTGCACAGCTGCTGCGCAGTAAACGACCAACTCTCCGACAACAAGGGTTCTGGAAAAATATTGACCCTTCATCACTTGAAACACACGCTCGGAAGTAAACAAATAAACACAGCAAAACAAAGCACCAGGGGCCGGCAGAGACAGGCCGCACGCCGACCTTAGCCGGTGTGGCTTGTTGCGTCGCATGTCGTACGCCGTTCATCCCTCACGGCTGTTTGACGCTACAAAGCTGCTGCGTTGCAGTCATGGGTGCTTCTTTGCGAGGTCGCGGCGCAGCTAACGTACTCTCCGACCGAAAGCGACTAGATGAAACTCGTAACACACAATCGCAAGCATCAAAAGAATCACGGACAACTAGTGACAGGCCGCGCCGACCTTGACCGAGATTACTGGCTGCGTCTCGTCCTCCAGCTGTTTGCGGCGAGCACGCGTCAGATGGGGCTCCAGAACGACCTGTGAGAGAAGACTCACCTCGGCAGTACTCGGGGTGCAGCTGGACCCTGACGGTTCTTGTTGCTTCAACGCTACCGGCCTCCTGATGTAGCTCTGCTGTCACGGCGGATTTCGCCTCTGCGTATGGGCACCTTGTTGAGCTCTGCTTCGGAATGCTGCTGATGGGCCCGCTTTTGCTCCGAAGGGGGAGCCGTGTATGGAGAAATATATTTAGTATGAGCTTTGTCGGCGTAGTGCCCCCCACCCAACATTCGGACACATGTGGCAAGAGGTCGAAAGCGCGCACTCACACCATTTCTCTCACATCAAACCCTTGGCATTGATCACCCCCGGCCTCCCTAGTTTATCCCTCAATACCTGTGAACAATGCTCAGTCTTACCTGCTTCAAGTTAGGGAAAACCTTCTCAGAGCACAGCGCGCTTTCCCGTTTCCCGAGGCAACGTTTTTTCTTCACGCTCGGGATCGCTCGCACACATAACCAGCTCGCCGAAGAAGTCAGTGATGAGGCTTGTGGCGCTCGGTGGCTCGTTTTGGCACCCGGAGTGTCCCAATATCCGCCTGCACCGCCCCGCTCACTGTCATTCTTCGAAACAAATTTATTCCACCTTTTGGTCGACTTGGCGCGATAAATCTCAAAAGACTTTAATTTTGCTTGTAGCAGCCAACGGAGCGTTTAGACTATACCGCAAAGAAGATGGTGAAATAAGACAACCTTGAACCAACTCTTCTACATGGGTAAGAGCCTCCTGCACCTGCCAAGCCTGCAGTGTCTGCCGTACCTGCCAAGCCTGCCACGCCTGCCAACAAGGTTTGCGCAACCTCGAAATGGAAGAGTGGTTTTGTTTCGTGGCTTTGCCGACAAGTGCCCCGCTGAGTTCGTGTGACATTAAGACTAGGCGCCCCGGGATGAAGTACTTTTTATGCCGTGTAGCTGCAGCCTTCGACATGCATTCCGTCATGGCCCCGTTGGCCAAAATCAACGATGGACATTTTCTCTGGACCCCAGACAGAAAAAAACTCTCGCGCAAAAAACGCGAAACTTTTTGTTTCGTTTCCGCGCGAAACATTTTGCGTCAATGTGAAGGTAAAAAAATAAACTTTCGACCGGATAGTCTAGGATATCAACTTTCTCTGGAGCAGCCGTCGCCGAGGGGGTAACATGCGCTCCCTGCCGGGCAACCAGTGTAGCAGATTCTGCAGTGTCTACCACCCCCCTCCCAGAAGAATCAACAAGATTTGCGCATGTCCCAACCCTGCCCCCGTTACTGTTGACGCATCGGCCCCGGAAAAACAGCGTGAGGGGGATCCCGTGCCAACACCACATGACGTACAACGTACGACACCGCAGCCATCCGGAATGGCCGGCCTCTTTACAAGAGATGGGTTTCTGGAGGGAGGAATACTCCCCGCACTTCTCGTTGCCCTAAAGAAGAGAAGGGCGTCCCCAGGCTCCTCCGCTCGGGTTCCTCCGCTCAATGAAGTCGCTGGTCGCTGGTCGCTGGTCGCTGGTCGCTGATCGCTGGCCGGTGGCTGGAGGGTGGTGTCTAGCGCCATCTGAGCAACAGCAGCAACAGACAGGGTGGTCAACAGAAACTTGCATTGATTTGATGAAAAAATCGTTCAACCATTTTTGGACACCAGCGGGCGCACGTGGAGCGCACTCTCCAACAGCATGGCCTTCAAAAAAGACACTGCAATGAGCAAGGATGAAGCGGGAGTCTCGTCATACCGCGAGAGCATTAGCTCGAAACTTGGAGACTTGCAGCAAATCATGCTGGACGTGGAAGATGTCCCAGCGCTCAAAACCATGGAACTCGAGCTGAGCAAGTTATACAAGAGCATGAAAGAGGTTCTGGGTGGTCACGGACAGAAAAGCGTAGCCGTGGGACCTGAAACGCCATCTGTGTCGGGAGACACGAGGGCGTGCAAGCCTAAGATTATCGAGGATTTATACTGCGTACCCGACGATTTGTTTGCCGAATTTAGGTACAAGCCTTGAGTTTGCGTGTGAAAATTCGGTGGGTCAATTTTTATGCATCGTCTTTAATCGAACCAACTTAAACCCTCATCAAAAACTCGTCTTCACTTGTACCGGTCTGCGTGTCGTACAGAGAGTTAGGTATCTTCTCCTCAGACGGGGGAATACCGTCCGCGAAAGCACGCACGTTCTCAATCTGTCCCTGCGGCAGTCATGTCAAAAACGCCCGTCTCAAATAATGTCCCGCCGCACACGGAAACGTCGACAAAGCCCGCGGCTGCGAGCCTTGGAGGGATCTGAGGCACTGCAGGAACCCCAAACACGATCAGTCCCTGTTCCGCCTGTTCGCCACACACACACTCATCACCAACACAAGAACTCACCGTCACCAAAGTCCAGCCCAGGTCAGATCGTACCACCCCCCTTGCCCGCGCCGTTGGCAAGCCCGTCCCCTCGGCCCGCCGTTCCACTTGGCTCCGATGGCCTCGGTCCCGCGGGTACGATGAGGTCGGCGGCTGGATGCACGTCGCGCCCGGTCGAGTCTGGTACACACGTAGGGGCGCGTTGCTACGGGGTGGGGGCTGGAGATAAACAACGGGCAACGGGGAAGGCTAAGATGATAATGGGAAAATGAGACTGCCTTGTGGGAGAGTTCTAGTACGAGCACAGGAGCTGGGGACAAGGGAACGAGCCTAGTTTTGAGTCAACTTGTGTGGGCGAAAAGTCAGTGGGAAGTCTAGCTTTTGGGGCGATATTGGACGTCAGGGCAGCAGTCTAGTTTCTTGGCCAAAAGGTGCTTTAGGGTTTGTTGAACCTTGAGTCAAGGGAGAGGTCAATCTTTAGGAGCGATCTTGGAGCTGAAGTCAGGGGAACAGTCTAGTTTGTTGGCCAAAAGGCCGTTCTATTTCGGACCTTCAGTCAGGGGAGAGGTCAAGCTTCAGGGGCGATTTTGGAGCTGAAGCCAAGGGAGAATTTTTTTTTCTGTCCCGTCTCTCACACACACCACCAAGACAAGAACGCACCGTCCCCAAAGTCCAGCCCAGGTCAGTTCATTCCACCCGCCCCCCTCGCCCCTCGCCGTTGGCAAGCCCGTCCCCTTCAACCCGCCGTTACACTTGGCTCCGTTGGCTTCGCTCCCGCAGGGGACGATGAGGTCGGCGGCTGGATGCACGCCGCGCCCGGTCGAGGCTGGTATGAAAGTAGGGGCGCCTTCCTGCCGGGGGGGCTGGCTTTAAACAAAAACATAGGGCAGGAGGAGGATGACACCTGGAACATGAGACTGCATTGTGGGGAGCACGGGAATTTTGAGTCAAGAGAGCGATTCTAGTTTTTGTGTCTACTTATGTGGGCGAAACGTCAGAGGGAAGTCTAGCTTACGGGGCGGTCTTGGAAGTCAGTGGAGCAGTCTAGTTTGTTGGGAAAAAAGTGGTTTGGGTTTGTTGGACATTGAGTCAGGGGAGAATTCTAGCTTTAGGGGCGATCTTGGAGCCGAAGTCATGGGAGATTTTTTTTTCTGTCCCGCCTCTCACACACACCACCAAGACAAGAACGCACCGTCCCCAAAGCCCGGCCCAGGTCAGTCCGTACCACCCACCCCCCGCCCCGCGCCGGTGGCACACCCGTCCCCTTCAACCTGCCGTTCCACTTGTCTCCCTGAGGGTACGATGAGGTCGGCGGCTGGATGCACGCCGCGCCCGGTCGAGTCTGGTACACACGTAGGGGCACGTTCCTGCGGGGGGCTGGAAATAAACGAAGGGTGCGGGGAAGGCAAGGATGACCCTGGGAAAATGGGACTGCATTGTGTGGGGAGCACAGGAGCTGGAGTCAGGGGGAAGGTCTAGTTTCTTCGGCAACATTCAGCGGCTAGCTTTAGGGCTGATCTTGGAAGTCAGGGAGCTTGTTGGCCAAAACGTGGTGAAGGGTTTGTTGGACGTAAAGTCAGGGGAGATTTTTTTTTCTGTCCGGCCTCTCACACACACCACCAACACAAGAACGCACCGTCCCCAAAGTCCAGCCCAGGTCAGATCGTATCACCCCCTCGCCCCGCGCCTTCAACCTGCCGCCTCACTCCCTCCTTCCACTTGTCTCCGATGGCCTCGCTCCCGTGGATACGATGAGGTCGGCGGCTGGACGCACGCCGCGCCTGGTCGAGTCTGGTAAGGGGGGTTGGAATAAACAAAGGGCTCCGGGAAGGCCAAGATGCACCTGGGACAATGAGACTGCCTTGTGGGAGAGTTCTGGTTCGAACACGGAAGCTGGAGTCAAGAAAAAAGTCTAGTTTTGTGTCTACTTGTGTGGGCGAAAAGTCAGGGGGAAGTCTAGCTTTTGGGGCGATCTTGGAAGTCAGGGCAGCAGTCTAGTTTGTTGGCCAAAAGGTGGTTGAGGGTTTGTTGACCTCAGGTCGGGGGAGAAGTCTAGCTTTAGGGGCGATCTTGGAGCTAAAGTCGGGGAACAGTCCTAGTTTTTTTACCAAAAGGTGGTTTGATCTTGGACCTTCAGTCAGGGACAAGTCTAGCTTAGGGGCGATCTTGGAGCTAAAGTCAGGGGAACAGTCTAGTTTCTTGGTCAGAAGGTTTTGATCTTGGACCTTCAGTCAGGGGACAAGTCTAGATTTAGGGGCGATCTTGGAGCTGAAGTCAGGGGAACAGTCTAGTTTCTTGGCCAAAAGGTTTGATCTTGGAGCTGAAGTCAGGGGAGGAGTCTAGATTTAGGGGCGATCTTGGAGCTGAAGTCAGGGGAGCCAAGCCTATTTTCTGTCCCGCCTCTTAAACACACCACCAACGCAAGAACTCACCGTCCCCACAGTCCAGCCCAGGTCACTTCGTACAAACCCCCTCGCCCCTCGCCGTTGACAAGCTCGTCCCCTTCAACCCGCCGTTCCACTTCTCTCGCGTGGGGACGATGGGGTTTGCGGCTGGATGCACGCCGCGCCCGGTCCAGTCTGGTACACACGTTGGGGCGCGTTGGTTCCGGGGAGGGAAGGCTGGAGATAAACAAAGGGCTCCGGGAAGGCAAAGATGACCCTGGGAACATGAGGCTGAATTGTAGGGAGAACAGGAGCTGGAGTCAGGGGAAAGGCCTAGTTTCTTGGGCAACCGTTAAAGGGGGGGGGGGGAGTCTAGGTTTTGGGACGATCTTTGAAGTCAGTGGAGCAGTCTAGTTTGTTGGGAAAAAGTGGTGTAGGGTTTGTTGGACCTTATGTCAGGGGAGTTTTTTTTGTCCCGCCTCTCACACACACCACCAACACAAGAACTCACCTTCCCCAAAGTCCAGCCCAGGTCAGTTCGTACCACCCCCATCGCCCCGCGCCGTTGGCAAGCCCGTCCCCTTCAACCGCCGTTCCACTTGTCTCCAGTGGGGACAATGGGGATTGCGGCTGGACGCGCACGCCGCGCCTGGTCGAGCTGGTACACGCGTAGGGTCACGTTGGTACGGGGGGTGGAGAGAAACAAGGGTTCCGGGAAGGCCAAGATGACCCTGGGAACATGAGGCTGAATTGTAGGGAGCACAAGAGCTGCAGTTAAGGGAAAAGTCTTGCTTATTGGGCAAAAGTCAGGGGGGAAGTCTAGGTTTTGGGTAAAACTGATTTGATCTTGGAGCTGAAGTCAGCAGTCTAAACTGCTTATCTTGGAGCCGATACTGATATCAGGGATCACTAGTTTTCTGGGCAAAAAAACGCACATGAAATTGAAATTAAATTTCACGCACCAACACTGAAATTTTTTGTCAGCTCGGGGACAGGCAGCCCGGTGTCTTCCAACCCGTGCTGGCACGGAGATCTGCCGATTGCGGCAAGATAGGCCAGAGAGATCTGCCGATTGGGACAACACAACAACAGGTGTGTATGTGTGAGAGAAGGAGAGTGAGAGACCAAACGAGGCAAGGCTGCGCAAAGCGCCGTACACATTTCCCGGAACAAACACGGTCAACGCCACCAGCTCGATCCGCCCGGAAGAAAATCACACAAGGTGCACATGAAGCGAACCCACGGAACGTTGAAACCCAAATGCCTCAAACCAATCAAATAAATAAACACCCAGCTGTAAAGTTTAGACGCGAACCTGGGAAATAGGCTTGCTGGTGATCAGCCCTGTTCACCGAGGCATTTCAAACAAAACATTAACATATTGACACATGGCATACCTGAACTGAAGTCCAAGTGCGTTCTACGTAAGAGTAAGAATTTGACGAACGAAACACGACAACAAAGACAACCTCTCACCAAAACCCCTCTTGCTCTCCCCTCACTGAACGTGACGCTGGCGCCGCCGTCTAGTGCCGAGCTGCAGCCGCGCTACCTGCAGTCGGTGCTCGGGCCCATCAACCGCCCCACCGGCGTCCGACGTTGCACTGTGAGATAAGGACATGCAAAGAAGGTTGATCAGAAGAACACACACAGGCACGTACACCGAGACGGCTGGCCAACTCGACGAGGCGGCCTGGACGGTCTTGCCCTCTTTGCAGTCAAGCGTCGTGGGCCTTCGGGGTACGTGCACGTACAACAACATTTCTCGTCTTGAATGTAACCTGTAGCGATGGTGATGTGCATGCCTACATACGCCTAGGCATGGTAACCGTGCCTTACAGTAGGGTTCACTCGGGTGGGGGGTGGCATCTTTCGTGACTCCAACAGGTTTTCGGTCAATACATGTGCATGCACACATCTCGGCGTGAGAGTAACCTGTAGCACCGGTGTATATCTGTGTATGGTCGATGCCCTTGATTCGTGCGCCCCGCCGATGCAAACAAGCAACGCGTGGACTCGTGGTTTGGCACGCGAGTGGAGGGTACAATACTTGAGGGGTAGGGTCCCGCGGTAAAGTCGGTGGTGTTGAGAAGATACACATACATGGCATATTTCCTGGCGTGGATGTAACGCACAGGGGCGGTGGCTTGCGCCACGCTAGACATACGTTATACTCCGGAGTACATTATACCTCATATTCGCGGACCCGGCCAATGCAAACAACCAAGCCGTGACTACTGGCTACTATTGGTTGGATGCACCCCCACGATAAGGGTACTTTGGGGCCAAAAAGATGTGGTGCAGCCCCATATCCTTTGGAATGCAGATTATCAAAACTAGACTAGTTGATGACATCTGAACTTGGTACAGGTGTTCAGAGGAACTTCGTGCCAGAGACATGAGAACTTCTTTTTCTATGCCTACCGTTCGGGAGGCGAAAATACTTGTGAGTTGGTGTCAGGCGCTACTGCTGTAGACCAGCTCCACATGACACTTTTTTCGATTTTGAAGCTGCCTCTCTGGATTTCGTCACGAAACCGAGGGAGAACATTCGTCTACAGATGGCGCCCGCACTTAACCCCTTTAGGGCTGGATCGAGTTTTGGGGACATTTTTTGTCCCCATATTTTTTTATTTTTTTTATGTTGACTTACATTTTGTATCCAGCGATTCCAAGTTACATCCTATTGCTCGATTTTTTTAGGCAATAAGGTTCATGGCGCGATTTCGTGCTAAGCGAGACTGTGGGGCCAGCCAATGAGCATCCCACTTTCATCGCTGTGCCGCGTACCGCACGCGGCGCAATACAGCACACAGCACACGAGCACACACATCCTCCGCCACTCGTAGTCTCGGTGCAACCCTGGGGGACAAGAACAGACACATGTCTTGGGAACATGATGCACAAAAGTACGGCCGACAACTGCTGCATGCAGTCTCAAAGCGTTATAGCGGTGACCTCCCAGTTCTCTCCGGGGAGGACACGGCGAAGTGCACGGCGCTGGAGGCCGCAGGTGACGGCAAATGCTCACTTCACAGCATCTACAGGCTGCTGCACCCCGAGCGAGATAGCGTCGTGGGTGCAACACCAGAGGAGATAAGAGAGACCCGCCAAGAAATGGGTGATGAAATGGCAGCAGTTGTTTTCGCTGAGGACTACGATCTGTTACTGGACAACACGGTGTCCGAGGAAGAAATGCGGAGAATGTCCAATCTCGACTTCGACAAGGGTTTCTACCGAAAGCGCACCTCCTACTCCAGCCGAGCTACAAGAATCAAACCAGTGAAGACTGTGGAAGAGGTGGTACAGGACATCCACAGACAACTGGGGAATGATTACTTGGCGGTATGTCAGCTGGCGTTGGTAGCTGAGGTGAAGAAGTGTAATATCGTGGTCTGGGAAGCAAAAATGGGAGGTGGGCTTCGAATCGTGGAAATAGGCGAGACCACGGGCTGTTTCGTTGGCAATCTTTTTGGGAAGGATTTTCTGCACCTGGTGTACAATGACTGCGGGGGCCACGTTGCAGATAATTATGCTGAAGGTGCGGTTATAGTGCGCGACCCGAGCAGCAGCAACGTGGCGGCAGCACAGATGAACCACTTCAGCGCTATCGTGATCCCACAAGAACTCGTGCCATGGGCATTGCCGTACATGCTCGCACGGGGTTCCTCCGGCGAGTCTGTTTTTGGGCATAGGAAGGCTGCAGACGATTTTTGCCCGTGTCCAACCACATCGGACAAGCGTTCGACGAAACACCGGGGCTCTTCCATTGCTGTCGACACTGGTGATGATGACCAAACCGAGACAAACAGCAGCGTGCGATCTCCCCGCTCTGCTGGAGGTGCCCGGTCAGTCACAACCGCACCCACCGGCGTATCAAAGCCGGAGGTGCCGCTGGGGAAAGCGGCGATCAAGCGCGCCACACTTCCTTCTGCCAGCAGCATGTCGGCGACGCCCGTGGTGAATGAGACGCCGACGCCGGCGGAAACTCCAACCAAGCTCGCCAGCAGCAAAGCGCAAGAGCTGTCTTCAGATGCGGCGAAGTCGGAGACGCTAGAGGGAGGTGCTGCCGGCGCAGATCCGTCAAAAAAGAAGCACGGAAAGCGCAAGCGCCGCGAGACTTGCAATGCTTTATTCGCCAGCGGGAAAAGGCAAGGGCAGCGCTGTGGGGCCGAGGCGAAATCCCCCTGTGGTACGCTCTGTAGCATGCACAGTAAGAAGGGTGGCCAGAACCGTACTTGCGGTAGGGGTGGAAACGGCGGTGATGACGAAACGGAATACGTGCAGGAGCCTGAGG